CCTTCTTGTCATGATGAATTAAAACCCCTGTACCTGTGAGCCAGTCATCTTTCCTTCCTTAAGTTGTTTCTCTCAGGTATTTGTCATAGTGGTAAAAGTTTTACTAACACACCTTTCTAGGCCCAGTTGGATACTATTTAAGAGAGAGAGCGAAAGAAGGGAGATAGGAAAGCATAAAATAACCACAGGGTGAAAGTGACTAGATTAACTTGTTGGAAAAGGCTGCCCCCTTCAAACACGTTATGTTAGTAGCTTTCCAGATGCTTACTATCTGGGAAAGAAATTCCTAGAAGCTTCATAAAGTTGACCCTGATGTGCTTATTTGGGCACAGGTGAAAGTAGCCTCCATCAATGTTGGCACTTCTGACTGGTTTGACTCGTGGGAACAGAACGGGAATGAAGGGACCTGGCAACAGAAGACTCCCAAGTTGGAGCTGTTGGGTGGAGCCAAGTACTATCTAGAAGCAGAGCATCGTGGGATAGCCCCAAGCAGAGGAATGAGAATTGGTGTCCAGATCCACAACACTTGGTTGAATCCTGATGTGGTTACCACTTACATTCGGGAGAAACATCAGATCCGAGTCAGAGCCCAGAGACTTCCAGAAATACAGGTCTCTATTTCTTCCTAGTCCCATGGAGCTGAGCTATGGAAAGAGTAAAGATAAATGCTTTTCAAAAAGACCACTGGCTGGGAGCCTATGGACCTGAGTTGTTAATACAGCTACTGCCAAAGATACAGGATATCTACCTGAAAGGGTTGTGAAGATTTTTGAAAATGCAGTCTCATTATTGAGATTAACTTACTCATTGATACAGTTTTAGAAATTTAAATTGTAGGTAAAACCTGTTCTGAAAATAGATTGCCCAGAATACAGTCAAGCTCCTTCACACACACACACACACACACACACACACACACCACAAAACACCATCGTTTGGACCCATTCAGGTCCTCTGTGTTTTCTAAGTCTACTTTGTAAAGGTTGTTCTTTGGGCCTTTCGTTGTGCCCCATACTGTTGTTGAACATTTTGATGTACTTTTTGTTTTTCATTCTTTGATGTACAAAGACAGTCAATATGGACTCTGCCTTCTAAAGCTTCCAGTCTAACAGGAGCCACATGGATCTTACCGGAGCAAATGCGTAAGGTGCCCAACAGAGAAAGTGCTAGAAGCAAAGCAGAGGTCCAGTAGGCCTCTGAGAGAGTGGGGCACGCCATGTGCTCTTTCTGCCTCTCAGAAGGTCTGCGAGTGTGGCATGCAACAGCAGCCACACGGCTGGGCATGGGGTGGGTAAGCGGCGTGGCATCACATTTAGCATTCCAAGAAAAGTTTCATCAGGTGATGGCCCTGGGCTCCTCAGAGCTTCCTAGAAGTCTGCTCATTTAGAAAGTTTTTATTATAATCATAATTAAAATAGAAGTAGGAAGCTAGGAGGTATGTCTGTGTTGCTAGACTTACCTCTGTCTCTCTTGACTTTTCAGATGCTGAATGTGTCAGGCAGAGGAGACTTTTCCCTTACGTGGGGCAATGTCTCTAGCCAGCCAGTCCCTACAAATGCCACAGCCCACCAGGTGGGACTCTTCTTCAAATAATGACAGGGTGGGGGTCCTAGGGATGCTTGTTATGCTCAGAATTTGAACTTCTGCTATTTTCTCTTTCTAGATTCAAACGGCCCTTGAGGAGTTACTTGCAGTAAAATGCAAACTGGAACCTGTTTCAGCTAACATCCTATTCCGGCTTGGATTTGAACAAGGTCTTGTCCCTGGCTTGACAAATTCTCCTTTCCCTTGTTTTTTTTTTTTTTTTCCTACAAAATAGGAATAATCTTTATTTCCCATCCAAGGTGCTAACAAAATCAAGTAAATATATGAAAACTAGATTTGGACACTGAGTGGCCAGGGGAGTGGCTGTGTGTTCCAGAGGGAGATGCTTGGTGTTGGTGTCACCAGAAAGAAGAGGCAATCCTCTGTATCTGTTAGGTGGAGAGCAGCACCACCCAGATAGTGCTCCCATGCTTCCCAGTGGGAGGTGGAAACAGCAACTCTAAACTTTTGTTTGGTTCAAAATGCATATAAAGGAGTTATTACACAGGAGCATAGTCTTAAGAGATTCTTAAAACGTGAGGGTGTGTGTTGAAACTACCGAGGTGAACTCAATTCTAGTTGACATTCCTTGGCTCTTACTTCTTCATAGTTTTTCACGTTCTGGTGCTCACAGAAAATGGTAATGGGCATTTCCATGTTCTGAGGCAGACAGAAAGAGTGTCTGTAGTTGAAGCCTTCAAGATAGAGGGTGCTGGGCATCCAATCTCTGCCCGTTTTCCCAATGTCTGAGGGGTCGATATCATCATGGACCCACATCCCATTTTCTACACATATACTGGTAACCTCTGTCTTGTTTAACATCAGTGCCTGTCTTCCTATTTTATCCAAACTGCATCCAGGTCTAGAAGGTTCCAGCTCTGATGGGGTCCTCACCTTTGGGTCTGAGCCCTTCTGTGGCAGATTCAGCCTCCGCCAGCCTCAACACCTTGTCCTAACCCCTTTGGCTGCTCCTAAGGGATATCGGCTGGATCAGTACCCACATGTGAGTTGCAGCTGTCATGCTTCAAGGCCAGGTGTGTCAGGAGTTATTATTCTCTGGGTCTGAGACTGAATAAACAGAAGTATACAGGGTATGCCCAAGGTTGCCCAGGGCATATCCAGCTGAGGTAATAGGCCTCTTAGCTGCTATTCCAGGTATTAATAGACACTTCTGGCCCCCACTGTGCATGGTTACCTGGAAATGTCTTGGTGTTAGCATTAGCAAGAAGGCCAATGGAAGTTTTTTTTTTCTTTAGTACTTTCCTTGATCTCTACATATAAGAAAGAGTGCAGACCCTGTAGGCAGGCTGTCTGGCTTTGAATTCTGACACCTTGAATGTCCTCGATGTGTTACATAACACACTATACCTTAATTTACTCAATAAAGCAGGTAATAATGTGATCTAAAAGGAATATGGTGGAGATTAAAGAGATAATCTACTGAAGTTGAGCTCGGAGGTAAAAACTCAGCGGAGACTAGTTTTTGTTATCAAGGTTATTGTAAGTATTGATGGATTGACTGACACATTTCTACTTCTTACATTCTTTGCTTCAGTAACTGCCAACCTTCATAAAGAGGCATAGTTCACTTGTCCTGTGGGAAACAGAGTGAGTCTTTCTAGGGTGGCAGAGCTCACGACAGTGTTGAATCTTTTCCTAGGTGAACCATAGTGGGTCTTGTGGCTAAAGGGTTCAGGTCAGGGCCTCACCCGTCTTCAGCCTCTCTACTGCAGGGGCTTCCAGTGGGGGTAGATTTTCCTTTTAGGGGAGAGTTAGAGATGCATGGACATATTTTTGCTTGTTTTGTCTGGGGAACTGTTACTGTCCTCTAATAGGTAGAGGCTAGAGATGCTGATAAACATCCTATATAATGCACAGGATGGCTCTCACCCAAATTACCGAGCTCCCACAATGCCAAGAGTGCTGAGGTTGAAAACTCCAGCTCATGAGTCTTCTCATGGGACATAACTTTGCACTTGTTGAACTAAAACCAAGGATGCTGGGAGCTAGAGTTGAAGAAAAGCTCAAAGTTGCACAGGTTATGGGTGTTTGCTAATTGAGATACTGTAACCTCCTCACTGCTAAGCACAATGCTAGGATTATAAAGTACTCTGTTGAAATAACAATTTTCTGGCTTCAGAAAAAGCATTTATTGTATTTTTAGCTTTATTGCAGAAGTAAGTAATAGTTTACTCTAAATTATTTGTGCCTCCAGCTAGATTGGAGGTCCAGCAGGGCAGGAACTGGGTGGGCTCTTTCATTACGTATGTCAGGGGCTTAGGAACATGGCTCTTTGCTATATACTGTTTGAATGGCTACTTCTTGCACTAATGGAACTTAAGTACTTATTTGGTGTTCATAGCTGTGTATGGCATACAAAGGCCACATAAATACAATCCTGAAGATGATGGTGTCTTTCACGATTGGCTTTCAAAGTGTCATAAAGAAAAACATCACCTGCGACTGGAGTCTCATGGGAACTAGCTCTGAGAGGTAAGTATTCTGTGGGGGGATGTGAGAGGATTGAGTCCCCTGGGAGGACTGGCTGTCTTGGGGATAATGTCTTGCCCACTTAAGGTACTAAGAGTCTTTTTTGGGGGGGCTTGAGATATTAACTTGGGGCTTTGAACTTATTTCACAAAACAGTTTGACTCAAGAGCAGTTAGCTATGAAGAATATAATAGTTCCTAGAAGGAGTCAGTATTTCTCTTTGGGACAGTCGTAGAACATCACATTTGGAAGAGAGCTTAGAGGACATTCTTTGACATGACAGAGGATGAAAATTTGGACCCTGAGAATTTGCAATTCACCAAAATGCATTCAGCCAGTGATTCTGGAATAAAGTGAAACCTCCATCTCTTGATTCAGTGCTTTTCCCACATTTCTTATGAGTCTTATAAGTGGTTTTAAACCTAAATGAGTCAGTAATGTCTGGGGACATCCATCTTCCCTGTGGTTAGAGCCTAATATACAATCTGCGTAAGACACACAATTAAATTGTAATTTGAAAATGCTGCTGACATTGAGTGTCATGAATGAATGAATGAATGAATTAAAACATGACTCACCAGTGTTAGAGCCAAAGTCAAGTGTAGCCCATCTCAGGTGGGTATCCGGACTACAGTGTGTGGGGTGGGTGGTACAGGGCTTGTGGAATCTCACCCTTGGCTGCAGAGTTTTTGGGAAAGGATAGCAGGTCTCACCCAGAGGCCCTTATTCTCTGATGTTTGCAGCTGGCAGTTCACTTGCACTGACCTCTGGGACACATGTGTGCTCCCCTTGGGGGATCTCCAGTCCCCTCTGGCAAATGCTCCACTGCTGGTTCATCGGATTGACCTCTTCCTTCTGGCTCAGGAGACAGGCCTGCTCTATGTGGATGAAATTATTATTGCCAACACAGATGTAACAGGTGATCGCCACATCTATCCTTCAAGGGCCTGTTGGTAAAATGTCCAGCTCAATCTTTCCTGGTAGAGGTAGCTGCTCTTTCTAATGAGGAGGGAACAGGTGACTCTTCACCTTTATCTGCTTTGGCTCTGAAAGTAGGGGGAGTTGGATTGCATGCCATTGGTTCTATACTTCTCTAGCTTATCTCTCGTTTTTTTTCTGTTCACCTGGCTCTTTGTTCTTGCTTCTGGTTCTTGTGCTCTAACCCTAATGTTACCACATCCTGGCTGAGAAGCTTTGGTTTCCTCATCTGTAGAATGGGTGTCGGCAGTGCCCTACCTCATTGAATTACTATGAAGATAATAAAAACTCAGCAAATTAGGTGCCGAAGGAGGTTCCTTGAGGAAATAAAGCCCATTTATGACTAGCCCACAGCTAAAATCATATTGTCAGTAGCCAAACTTAAAAGGTTTTCCTCTAAGATCATAGACAAGGATACCCAATCTTGCACTTCTGTTCAAGTAGTATTGGAAGTCCTAGCCAGAGCAATTAGGTAAGAGAAATAAATTTAAAAACATCTAAATAGGAAAGAAAGAGGTTAAGTTGTCTTTGCTGAAGAGGCAATTTTAGATATAGAAAACCCTAAAGACTCCACCAAAAACAGTTATAATTAATTACTAACTTGAAAAAATTGCAAGATACAAAATCAGCATAAAAAATCAATTTCATTGCTAAAGACTAATAATGAACTCTCTGAAAAAGAAATTAAGAAACAATTCTATTTACAATTACATAAAAATACACAGGAGTAAAATTAATCAAGGAGATGAAAGCTATACACTGAAAACTATAAAACAGTGATGAAAGAAGTTGACCAAGATAAAAACAAATGGGGATATATCTTGTGTTTATGGATTGGAAGAATTAACATTGTTAAGTGTTCACATTGCCCCAAATGATCTACAGCTCAATGCAATCTCTGTCAAAATTCAAATGATATTTTTCACAAAAAAGAAAACACAATTCTTAAATTCATGGAACCATAGATGACCTAAATTAACCAGAGCTGGAAGCATCAGACTTTTTGATTTCAGAATGTACTACAAAACTACAGTAATCGAACAGTATAGTTTTGGCATTAAAAACAGACATATAAAACAACACAGCAAAATTAGGGAGCCCAGAAATAAATCCCCACATTTGTTTAATTGATCTTTGACAGATGTGCCAAGTTCATACAATGGGGGAAGGTCAGTCTCTCCAATAAATGGTGTTGGGAAAATTGGGTATCTACAATGGAAAAGAATGATATTGGGCCCAGATCTCACATCATGTAAAAATCAATTCAAAATTGATTAAAGACCTAAAAAAAAGAATTACTATGAAGATAACCAAAATTTAATGTAAAGCACTTGCTATGGGCTTAGATCATAGTAAGTGCTTAACAAATATAACCAATTATTAGTGTTAGGTCAGTAGGACTTCCCCACTTCTCCTTGAGTTAATGTGTCTGTTGTACTGAGTGCTAGAAGGGACACAGAGATATTTGGTCTTGTGTATGGGCTAAAGGTCTGATTTATTACCTTCAAGACCTTTATAGCCATACATTCCTGAGGAAATCCCTTTGTCCTTTCTGTCCATCCAGACTCCTCCTACCAGTTATTCAGAGATCAGACAAGGCCTGCTTTCCTTCAAATTTTCCTTTGACCTCTTTTAGGCACAGTGGCCTCTCCTGGTTCTGACCACCGATCCTTGGGACAGAATGCTTACCGGGGCCCAAGGTTGGCCATGTATGGTGTACAGTCATGGCAGTTTACTCTCAGGGACCCCAAGCTTCTAACCTTTACTCCTTTTCCTTTTTTAAGTTAAAGATCTTATGACTCTGGAGCTCAGAGTCCCTATCTTCAGAGAATTTTTTTCTCTGTCTCCAAGGAGAAGAAGATGACATGGTCACTTACATTTTGATTTACAAAGTATGAAGCTTTTGAGGCTTTTGCCTAAAAATTGCAGATCTGAGAATGAGAGAGTGGGGTAGATAGCAAGACATCTCTTTATCATCCTTAAAATTACATCTTCTTTGACACTCATTGAAATTCTCCTATCTGTTTCAGCAGCTTAAGTGTTTTGGACCAGACTGGACCTACATTGCTTTTTATTCAAATTCTTCTCGTGTTCTGGCACACTTAGAAAATGGCACTATTCAAATGGTGTGTTAGAATGAATGCCTGAATTTTCTTTTGGTGCCTAACACAACTGGCTGGAGGACTTTGGTGACTCCAAAGATTTCCAGGACTAAGGGGATCAGTATTTCATACACTTAAATCCACTGGTTGGAAAGCTCTTGACTAGGTAACAGGCTCCATTTCACTTTCTCCTTTCTCTCCCCTAAATGCCATCGTGTCTCTCCAAAACCTTGAAGCCAAGAATTCAGAGCCTTTTCTTACAGCCCCATCTCTTTACTACTGAATGGTGTGTGGATATGGAACCACCCAGAGGTGAGGTGAAGGAGGGAGAGGGAGAAGAGAGGGTGGAGCTAAAAAAGAAGACTGGGTTGGCTTGGGCGAGACAGTTTGCTTTATCAAAGTTCTCTATGGGCAACAACTTGTTGGAGAACTGGTTAATAGAACATAAACTCTATTCAATTGGCTTGAGTATTCACAGTTAATAGTATGTAATTTGTCTGATCAATTTAATATTTAATTATATGTCCTCTATAAATTTTTATCTGGTGGCAGCTTCCACTTTTTATTTAGTTCTCAGAAACCCATGAGATGGTGCTATTGCCTCCACTCTATGTATGAGGAAACCGGGGCTAAAAGGGGTTTCTTAGTCCTTCACTTTCTTCTTAGCCTTTGCTTTTTCTTTTCTCTTCCCCACTGCACACAGTGGAGGAGATTAGAAACCAGTGATTTTTGATAACTTAGCCAAACCTTCAGGGACTTAATACCTAGCTGAGTGAACAATCATTTATTGAACACAAACTTTGTGCCCAGTGTTAAGCGTTGGGTATGCAAAGGTAAATAAGACACGTGTACTGTAATAGTTTGAGCTATAAACAGTCTTGGGGAAGAAGCTGTCTTTTATCAAGTGCCTAATAGGAGGGTAAAAGGATAGTAGGATATATTGTGTTGTTTAAGTCTGTAGTCTCACTGAACTCCCTGCCATGCTGATTGCTATCAATCAAACATGTCATGAGTCCCACTTTATAAATAAGAAAACTGAGTCTTAGGGAGCTTATATTGATTAGCTGAGCGGGTACTAAATAGAAATGGGAAAACCAGGATCAGAATGGTGGTCTTTCCTGGAAAGCTTATACTCTTTCTGCATACATGCTGACTCCACGCTGTGGATCAATACTCAAGTACTCCCTGCATGTGCCTCATGTGCTCAGTGCTCCTAACAGGGTCTCGAGAGTTGCCAGGGACTGTGGGAAGGCAAAGGTGGCCATCTCCAGTACAATAGAGTGTCTGTGTAGGGCTGCCTCCAAGAGCCGTCAGTGATATTTGGTAGACTCAGGGCTTATTGATCTTTGCTATGTAATCAATCTTCATCTACTTAAGCCATGACCTTGTATTTCCTTTTGGTAATTAGCAAAAAGGAGGGTGCTTTGGTTCCTGTGGCAGCAGTGGGGTAAGAATCTAGGTTGTAAGTGTGCATGGGAGCTGAGGAACTTAGCATCTTCAGTTGGGATCTCACACATAGCAAGTCTCCCATTTTGAGTTACTTGATATTAACTGGATCTTTGGTCTCCAGTTTCTCAAGCTGAGTCTGGAACTGCTCACCTAGGCAGACATCTGGTGGAATCAATCTCTGTGGTGGGGTCCTCTCCCGTCTATACTGTAGCCTTCTGGTTGGTGGGGTGTGACACTGAGCTCCCCCTCATCACTGCAAGGTAGGTATTGCTTTTTGTATCTGAGTCCCTCTTTAGGATTTCTGATTGGTTGTGGGAGGCACAGAGGTGGGACTTTTATCAGGGCAAGAAAGTTGTCTAATTGTTTAAAGCAGTGGTCTCAACTTGAGAATGCAGCATCAGACTCACCTGAAGGTCTCATTAAAACATAAATTTCTGGGCCACATCCTCAGAGCTTTTAATGCAAGTTTGGGGCAGGGTCTGAGAATCTGTTTTTTTAATGAGCTCTCTGGTAATGCTGATTCTGCTGGTCTGGGGACTACCATTTGAGAACTATTTTATATTATATCTGTGTAAAATAGTTAAGTTTTTATGATGTTCAGAGGTTCACATTAACATTGTTTTCTGTTTGCTCACCTAATTTTATTCCTCATGTAAGGATCCTGAAATTCTTTGAAGGGGAATGAAATTTTCTAACAAAATTTCTAAAAACTAACCACCAGATGGCACTAGAGCCTCATATGTATGGCTTTTTTAAATTTTATTTTTATTTTTTCTTTTATTCATATGTGCATACAATGTTTGGGTCATTTCTCCCTCCTTCCTCCACACCCTCCCTTACCTGCCCCTCCGTCTCCCCCTGCCCCCACCCCCTTGCTACCAGGCAGAAACTATTTTGCCCTTATCTCTAATTTTGTTGAAGAGAGAGTATAAGCAATAATAGGAAGGACCAAGGGTTTTTGCTGGTTGAGATAAGGATAGCTATACAGGGAGTTGACTTGCATTAATTTCCTGTGTGTGTGTGTTACCTTGTAAATTAATTCTTCTTGAACTAGCCTTTTCTCTAGCTCCTGGTCCCCTTCTCCTGTTCTTTTTAACCATAGTTTACAAAGTAATAATTAAGGATCGGTCTCCTTGAAATCTCTGGATCACATATATGCTTTAATTTGTTCTTTTAGTTTTTTAGTTAAAGCTAAGTGAGATGGTAGGATGGGAAGAATTGAGATGATCTTCCTTTTATATGTTCTCTCTCTCTCTCTCTCTCTCTCTCTGTATCTCCTCCCCCCATCTCTTTCCTCTATGTTCTCATACCTACAACATGCTGGATGGTGTATTAAATGCCAAGTGAGAAAAACTGGAATTTGTGCTTCACTTTGCCTGATGTAGTGTTTGTTCCATGGTCTTGTGGGCAGGAAGGATGCTAACACCATCAACAGAATAAAGGAATGGGAGAGCTATAGTGGTGGAGAGGAAGCTGCCATGTTGGCCAGCTCTAACTGACAAAGTTTTTAACTGAAATGATAGAAGCTAATTTGCGTTATTCTGAACAGGTTCACACATACAGAGGTCCTCATGGCCTTCCTCCCTGAGTTTTCCTCAAGTCTCTGGCTACTATAGAAGCCTCTGGCCTAGGCAGGACAGGACAGTCTTTACACTGGGTTCCCCTGGATGCACACCCCACCCAGGCAGAGTTGCTCTGTCTGTTATTTCTCTGCATTTGTATGTATGCATATCAATACATAGTACTTCAATAATCCTATTGACAGAAATGATATATGTCCATCATGGAAAATTTGAAAAATACATAAAAGATAAAGAAAAATCACTCATAGTCCCACTGCTGGAGATAATGTCTATTAACACATTGAGTCTGAATTCTGCCTTTTCCTCTAAGCAGTTTTCTTATACACTAAGCCCATCTATTCACAGATTTATTACATATGATTTTGATCAAGCACAGTCAAAAATAAATTAAAAAAACAAAAGAAATTTCAAAAGCAAAATCTTAAAATTCCCATGCACACATTTCACAGCTTGGTTGATGTGGAGAAACTCTCAATCCATCCCACATCATCGCAGGCGTGTTGAAATCATTGTGTGATCTGCTAAGTGTTTCCTTGCCCTTAATTTTGTGAAAATCTGCCTCCTAAAAAGCAAAGGATGCCCCCAAAAGCAAGGCAAAAGTTAATTTTCTTAATTTAAGTGATAAAGTGAAAATTTGAGATTTGTTGAAAGATGGTATATGTTTAGCAGAAGTTGAGTGGCAAAATGGGAAAAGTAAATGAAGCATCCATGCAATACAGCATTGAACTCTGTGCAACCTCAGCATTCAGTTTTCTTCAGAAGCAGTTTCCACAGACCCATGGACAGCAAGGATCTACTGCACTCATGTGAATGTATATATTGATTTTTAATCCTCAAATCGGGATCATATATTATCCATTATATATGTGAGATGCTCCTTTTACCTAATGGCGTATTTCCTCAACACATTCAACATTCCTCTGAAATGATTTTGATGGCTGTCTTTGTCTACTTTTGCCTTTAGGACAATGTAGCTTAGATGAGGTATCTTATAAGCAATAGCAATTTATTTCACATAGTTCTAGAGGCTGGTAAGTCCAAGGTTAAGGTGCTGGCAGATTTGGTGTCTGATGGGTACTTGCTTTTTTGGTTCTTAGATGGCACTGTCTTACTGTGTCCTCACATGGTGGAAGGGAGGGAGGGTCTCTCTGGAGTCTATTTTATGAAGGGCCCTAATCTTTTTCATAAGGACTCTAACTTCATGATGACTACCTCCCTGAATGTCCTACCTCCTAACAATGGCTTCACCTTTGGGATTAGTATTTCACCATTTGAATTTTGGGAGGATGTAAACTTTCAGACCCTAGCAATGATTGAATAGTGTTCCATTTCATGGTGTCACATTGCATTGGGTCCACTTGTTACATCAAAAGTAGGATTGGGCAGGCAGTGTGTTTGTGCACAGGAACTACATAAGAACTTGGCTAGCTGAAGTGGCTGTGGTTCAGGTGGGGGATAAGGACACACTGACTTTTCGTTTGAATATATGCAAACGGGGCTAGAGAAAACCAAGTTCTCTTTCAATTCTGCTTCAAAGCCAGAGTTCTGGTGGCCATAGTTACTCACCACTCTGGGTCTTTGTGCTCTCAGGATCAGAGTGAGCAAAGAGTGGAATGCCCTTAAAGAGTCATAAGACTTATACCACACTGTTTCTGCCGCAACAGGAGAGGAGCACCTAATATTTCTGAGCTTGAGCTCATATCCTAGAATTATGGGTGATGAGCTGGCCTTTAAAATCCATCCGCATTCTGAATGGATTGGCGCATCCTGATGGCTACTGTGGTTAATGCTTTGTTTTTGACATGCTGTAGCTCTGTGCCCACTGAAGGAGCAGAGGAGGGGTTTGGACTCATCAAGGTGACGACACAGAGACTACAGAAGACAAGCCCGGCTTTGGGAGGATACTTTCGCATTCAACTTTTGAATACACTGATTCCTGGTAAAGGGGCAATTGGGTGCAGCATTTCTCACTTACATGTTTGGGGCATTCCTAGGTAAATAACATCCTGTGTCATTGGCAGGTAGGGTGACAGTCACAAAGCTATTTTGTTTTTTTTCCCAGTGTCTGAAAATGACCTTCTTAAAATTAAAGATCAGGAAAGGGACTAATTGTACAAGCCCCAACCCCGCCCCCTTATCCACTGTTGGGGATTGAATGGAGGGTTCCAACTCTACCACTTAAGCCATGTTCCCAGTCTTTGCTTTTAGTTTGTTTTTCAGAGAGCATCTTGTGCTAACTTTGCCCAGGCTGGTCTCAAACTATGATCTTCTTGCCCGACCTCCTGGGTGGCTGGGATTATCGGCCACCACACAGTCCTAAACCCAATCAGTAGGGGCATATTCCCTTTGTTAGGCCCCAGAGAAGGGTCTGTTTCCTGCCTTTTCCAGCTCTGGCAGATGCTGTTGTTCCTTGACTGCAAGGAGATACATCCCTTCACATTTTGATTCTGTGTTCACAGCACCTACTCCTCTTGTATCTCAACACCTCCTCTACCTCTCTGTAATAAGGATACACGATTAGATTGAGGACTTACCTGCATAAGCAAACTCTTCCTCTCAATCTCTTACCTTCACCATGACTTTTGTCACATAAGATAATATTCATTCTTTTGCCTTGTAAGGTAATACTTATTCATTCTGGGGTTTGGGTTATTGACATATCTCTCAGGGGGGTCACAATTCAGCCAGCTATTCTGAGGTTCTCTAGAAGGTCACACAAACAGTTGATGGCAGGGCCAGGATGTGAACTTGGGTATTTGAGACTCAGGTTAGTCCTCCTCTTTCTGTAGTTTCTGAAGCCAAGGTCCATGGCATCATGTCCTTTAAGGCTAAACTCAAGGGTGACACCATGTACTGTTGAAGACTTTAGCAGTAATGGCAAATGTAGAAAGAGATTGCAGATACAATTAGCATAATATTTAAAAAATCTTCAAGAATATACACTTGAAGAATATTCATAAGGGTCAGATTTATGGGTGATCAGAAGGGAGGCTCAGGAAACTCAAGAGAGGCTGGGTAGTAGTTGGTACATGGCCCCAAAGTCCTTTTTCCTTCTCACGCAGAAGGATGCTAGACTTGCAAAGGATATTCTTGGGTGGGAAGTGCAGAGGGTTGTTTTTACTATAACTGTGCAACTTAGGAAAAGTTGAAGGTCTTTCATCTTTTAGAGTCTGATGAATGGTTAAGTGCTAACAGTGCTCTACCTCTATGAAGTTCAAGAGATTATCTGTAGAGAGACGCCATGTTTTATTGGTGATGTTCATCACATCATTAGCTGCAGAACAACTAAGAGAAATCAGCCTTCATCTGGCCTTCTGAAATGATGATGGGTCTGAAATTATGTATAAACATAGAAAATCTTTTTTAAGTGGTGAGACTTTTGTTTGCATTGTGGAAGTACAAATGGTATTTTATTAACCTTTCAGGACAGCATGGAATTCAAGAGGAAGGCTCTTGAGTAGGGAGAAGTCAGCTGGGGCTTTAATCTAAACCTGTTTCACTGAGTTGGCAAGCTTTTGAATACCATTAGGGCTCATTTTCCTCATCTCTAAAGTAGACATTAGGGTGCCAAATGACCCACCTCACAGGGCTGTTGGGAGTAACTAATGAAATGGAAACTTTTGGTAAAGTATGAAGCAGGGTTCAAACACAGAGCTTTGTTATTTCTCTGTGGGGATGTGGAATGGGGAAGCAGGTGGTTGGGCTTAAAGGAAATTCTAATAGAGAAACCAAAGTTAAGTGCCAACATTCCTCGGCTGGATTGGCTAAGTTTTTATGAGTGTCAGCTGCTGTATGCCTCCCCCGCTCCCTGTGAAAAGTGGCCAACTTTTCTCTGTTCACAGGGCTAAATTTTTCCAGGGAAAACCCAATATTTAATTATATTTTCAGCCATTATAAGATATCTGGAGCTTACATTTCGAGTTGACAGTTGAGATTGTTTTGTCTGACATTCTGTGTTTTCTGCTTGCCATGTGATAAGATACTGATGAAAGGTATTACAATGTCAAACGTGGGCATCTACTTGTATTTGCCTTGGGAAAAATGGTTTAACTAAGGCTGAAGGTTCTCTTGAAGATATATTTGGACTTTGGAGGTCTCCTGTAAATTTATGAGGCATCCTGGTATTTATTCTCTTTTATCCTTGGCAATAAGACCCTGCCAAGGTAGATTAATTAATGTCTTTGTGTTTTCTATATCAAAACCTTTCCTCACAGATGTCCCTGTACATATTTCTGCTAGTCAGCTTCAAAAGCTCCTACAGGGGAATGCTGATGACTTCACATCCAGATTTCTCAATGCTACTGACTTCACTGTGGACGATCTAAACTCTTGCTATGAACACGTATGGACCCTTTACTGGACTACCCAGATTGGGGACTTGCCCAATTTTATCATGGTATGTATGCCCATCCCTTTCTGTAGTGTGGGTTTGGTGCCCTGGAGAAATTTTTTAAAAAAGGAAGTCAGAATTATATGAATAAAACTGTCATTGATTATTAATTTTGTTGGAATGTTGGAGTAAATAGATCCTAGGATCTCTCCTTCTAGAAGTTTTTAATGCATATTTTACATCTTATATCCCTGATAAAGCAATTTAAACCCAGTGTCGCCTTCCCTAGCACAGTGTAGGTATAAAAGTTGTTGGTCATTGTCCACCATGCAAAATTCCACATCTGTTATTGGATAATTTAAGCAGATGTGATTGACTTGGATTATCATGGAGGCAGATGGCATTGCAGAAGGAAGTTTAGAAAAGGATTTGCTGTCCTTGGATAATGACAAAGCCAGATGCTCTTGCATATTTAGGGTTTAAAAATAATGTAATGATCATCTAGCATTTGGTTATTATAAAATGAAGCCTAAGATGAAATTTTATCACAGTTATGGGTCAGGTAGTTTTCAAACAAAATCCTGTGGTGGAGACTGAAGAAGGAGGGGAGTTTGCTCTTCAAAGCACTGTATTCTGATGTTTCATTTTAATATTTTAGATTGCAAACATATAAAATAGAGAAGCAAATAGAAGCAAAATACAGCAAGAGTTAGAAGATTGGTTTGCTGTGCATCTTTTAGCAATTTCATTGCAAATGAATATCCCTGTAATCTACTGAGCACTCATTACCCATTGCTTACTCTGAGGTTTCTAGATCTCAATTCTTTGTCAGTTCAATTTCACTTTATTTCTACCTGATTATCTCAAACAGAATGTAAAAAAAAAAACCTCATCCTTTTCTAAATCAAGAGTACATTTCTGTTCCATGACAAAATTCACCGGAAATGTAACCATTTCAGGTCTCTGATCAAAATCTCTCCGGAGTGAATCCTGCTGCAACCACTCGTGTGGTATATGATGGTGGAGTTTTCCTTGGACCCATATTTGGAGACATGTTGGCTACTGCAAACCAGCAAACTCAGGTGAGAGTGAATGGGCCACCCAAAGTGCAAGTACCAGTTTAAAGTCTAACTCAGCCCCTCACCCATTTGTAATGTGAGCCAATTGGCTTAGCTCCCAAGAGTCATTTTTCCCACTGGTAGGTGGTACAATGACAGTTGTCCTTTTTCTACTTCCACAGGGTATGTAAGGCACCATGAAAATATCAATGCTTTGTAATCATATTTGGTTATAATTATTAATGCTATTTTTATAGTACCTCTCTAGCTAAATATGATTTATGCATCCACACGGGGGCAATGGAAAATAAATGGACTAAAGTCAACTTCTTTTATCTTTAAAATGTCCTTTTGTCTTCCCCAACTGCCTGAATTCCTGCGATAACTCTTCTGCTTTTAAAAAATACAAAAGGATAAGGAGTAACATAACCAACAACTAGGCTCAAACTTAGAATTGACTGTTGTTAATATTCTTTTAAGTTTATATTTTTGTCTTAATGAAAAAGAAAACATACATAAAATTGAAGTGTTCTTTATCACCCATGTCATTCAGGTACCCTCTTCTCTTCACAAGCAGCCGCTATAAATATCATATGTGTGCATTTAATCCATTTTTAAATATGTATATAGAATCAATTGAGTTGTATCTTTTTTTGCTTTACCATTTCTAAGTGTTGTTTGAAATAACATTAATTCCAATGAAAGGGAAAGATATACTTTTTTTTTTTCATTACTGGAGATTGAACCCAGGGCCTTGCACATGTTTGGCACGTGCTCTACCACTTGAGCCACTCTCCCAGCCCTGTCTTTTCTTAGGAATGTACCATTCTAGGACAAAAATTGCTACAAACAAAATATCCAAATGCACTTTGTCTTTAGTTATATATTCATGAAGCAAAGGTCTTTACTAGCAAAGAAAGCTTCCTACAAAGTGAGTACCTAATCAAAAATACAGCGATAAGAAGTTCTTGTGGAGTGTAAGTTTTTGAAATTTACTTTCAGATGTCAGAGAGGAAATCTAAAGATTTAGTGTTTCTATTGTGTGCAGTGGCATGTGCCTGTCGTCCCAGTTGCTTGAGAGACTGTGGCAGGAGGATCACTTGAGCTCAGGGGTGAAAAGTTTTCAAAAGAAAAAAATTAAGCATGAAACCTGCATAATTGCATAAACGAATTTCAGCATTTCCATCACCGTTTAAGAAAGTTTGACATGTTCTGGCCATTCACTTAAACTGGAAAAAATCGAAGAAAGAAGCAAGAATAAGTGGCTCATTAACACATTTTAGTTTGGGAAATCTTCACAAATGCTTTATGACTATCCTTGACTGTATGGAATGCATACATTTGATGTCAGTTCTTTTACCTTTTCTCAGGTGACTGTGCGAGTGAATGACATACCAGCACATTGCCCAGTCTCCTGTCCTTTCCAGTACCTCCAAGGGTCAACTCCCAGGGTCCACTCTGTGTGGTATTCTCTTGGTATGGCTTGTGACTTAGCACTGAGATAGACATGAATCTTATATTCAGTGATTTTGTTAGAGGCCAGGTAACTGGTGATGGTTGGGTAGAAGATGCAACTGTTCCTTAAGTGGAGGTTTGAGTAATGCAGCAGAAAGTGTAGTTTTGGTCCATATAAGGGATATGGTTATCTGAAATAGGGGGAGGGGGCAGTGGAGTTTTGATGACTTAAAATGCTTTATTTTTGTTTGTCCCTTATTTTAAAATATTCTTTTTATTTTGTTTTTCTTCTTCTTTTTTTAAAATTAAGCAGTGACTTCTTACTGCTAGCTTGAGAACATTTAAGATGACTGCTGTACACTACAATAAATACAGTTGTGAAATATTGGTGTAGTATATTTTGTGAGGGGAAGACGAAAGAGAATAAGCATTTGATACAGTAAGGTCTCTTACTTGGAGTGATCTCTCTCAGAGATAATTTGGTTTTTCAAATGTCTTCCTTCTTTTAGACGGTGACATCAGCCTCCTGGTTCATATTATTGGAACTGGTTTCTCTGGTGACCCCCAGTCCATACAGGTTACAGTGAACAAAGCAAGTTGCAAAGTTGTTCTCTCAAACCACACAAATGTGGCCTGTCGGACAGACCTGCTGCCAGTGGGAAGGCATGAGATCTCGATGTTGGTGAGACCCTTTGGTCTTGCTGTCAATGCCAGTGGAGAAGGATTCTTCCTATATGTAGAACCCAGACTGGACACGGTGGAGCCTAGCAGAGCTGCAGAGATTGGTAATCTGGGCGGGGCCCCACTATCATCTGACCCTCAAAAGCTAGGGTTCCTGCTACTCTGGAGAAATCTTTTCCTGACTAACATATAGCACATCCACTATGATTCTCAGCTTTTTGTTTTCAAACATTTCTGCAAATGGGCAGCAGACCTTGAGCCCTCAAATGAATTCACTTACCACATAGAGAGTATAGTTTGGTGTCAGGCATAATTGGGCCAGTCATGGGGTCCATTGACCTAGTGCTCACAGCACTGGATTGAGAGTCAGCACATGTGCCTGGGTTTTTGTCCTATTGCAGGTCAGATGTGTGACCTTAGAAGTTGCAATTAGTTTTATAAGACTTAGTTTCCTAATAGCGACAGAGAGAAGGAACCTCTTCTAAGTAGCCAAACATCCTAAATGCCTACAACTGCTCAAAAGATGAATTATGCCCACCCTTTTTTAGGTGAAGTAATGCTGGTTTTAAGAGGAAAGTCACTTTTCAAGACTGCACATGGAAGGAGGCAGGGCTAGAGTGCAAACCAGATGCTGTCCTGCCAAGACTCTTACTGATTCTTCATACCATGCTGCCTTGCTTATAGAATGTCCTAATGATGTTTCATTTATAGGAATACGTATCTTTGTGTGATAGTTAAGTGAGTCAATGGGTGGGAAAGCTGCTTTAAAAGTAAAATTACTTGACACGTGTGAAATTCAGGCCTTGCCTCTCCACTAGGAACTTTATACAAGGTTGGTATTTTATAGATGTGTCTTAGCTGAGGCACATCTAGACACTTGTCTAGCATGCAGAGCTGACTACTTTTCGAGTAGTGGGGAATCCAGAGGCACTAGGTCTTGTCAATATTAGCCTGATGGATTGAGTCTTAGTTACCTGGAAAACCAGAGATTTCTCCATGACTTCCTGCTTTCTAAGGGATGCTATTTGTTAAAACAATGCAGCTGGATTGCAGCTCTCAGAAATCCTCATGGTTATGTTTGCTGACATGCACATTTTGGAGCATAAGACTCTTTTCCTTAATGCTTTGGATTTTTGTCATTGTTTATTCTGGCACCCAAAGGCCTGTAGCTTAGGACACATTTCAAAGCAGTGTGTTCTGGCCACAAACTCATTGTTCAAAGGAACAGTTTGTTTCTGACTGTGCTCTTCCTAAAAGAATGAGTCATGAGGTCCACCCACTTCATTTTTGCACATAAAACAGAGCAGACTCTTATTTCTCAGTGATTTCAGCAAGAATCCAGATAATACGATGCTCAAAGTAAAAGACTGTGTTCTTTAGTGATCCAGTAATTACTGGTTTGAGTTTAAGGTATGTAATAGTCTTCTCACTAGATTCCTCACAGACTTTGGTCATCTTAAAAAGTTACCTTTGCAGTTAAGGCCACAGTAATCTTCAGCCCTTCTACTGGATTGTAGACATCTTATAGGCGAAGAGGTGATTCAGTCATGCTTCCCCTTGCACAGGTAGCGTGACTGACTGTCCCTGTTTGCCTAAGACTGGAGAGTTCCCAGAATGCAAGACTTTCAGTTTTAAAACCAGGGTGCATATATGGAAGGTAGAGATAGGAACGGATTATGGTTTGAAGACAACCTGGGCTATGAGTTCATGAGAACACATCTCAACAAATGAAATCTGGGCATGGCGGTACACACCTATCACCCCAGCTCTGCAGTAAGGATAAATAGGGGGATTGCAGGTCAAGCCAGCCTAGGCGTAAACATGAGATCCTATTTGAAAAATAACTAAAGCAAAAAGGTCTGGGGTTGGCTCAAGTGCAAGATCACTTTCTAGCAAGTGCAAGGCCCTGAGTTAAAGCAACAATAACAAAAACAGAATACAGAACTCTTAATACTGAAAATCAGTCCCAGGAGAATTGGAATGAGTTGGTCACTCTATCAGGGCACACTGTACCAACAATATGTAGTAAGGGGATTGTCATCCCCTAAGTTTTTAGTAAATGGTGGAGAACTGAGAAGGGATAATTCCAGGTAGGTGCAAATTAAACTTATTAAGACAAAGGGTGGGAAGAGAAGGGGAAGCTCTAGCTGTCACTTTTTTCATTACTGCATTTAAATGTTCCTGTTAATGCTGCTTGTTCTCTGCCTCCTATGCACTCACTCAGCACTAAGTGTGCCACCATGTACAGAGGCTTGTGCTGGCTGATGATGTAATTACAGTGTGGCCCTAGACTAGTAATATCTGGAGTTTTAGACCCATCTCAGACCTGCTGAATCAATGTGTGCCTTAATATGATCATCAGACAGTCTGTACTAAAGTACAGTTTGAGAAACTCTGCTTTGGCGATTCAAAGAAGACTATCAGCAAGGAACTTAAGTAAGAGTTGAGTATGGGATGAAAATATATGATATGATCACCTCTTACCCGTATGCTGAAGCACCCTCAAAGGGATTTTTTAGGACAATATTGGCTTTGCCTCCCATATTCTTAAGATGGAGTTACCCTTTCCTTAGGTATGGACCCCTATGAGGCACCTTTTGAATGAGAATGGTACCTTTCCAATTTCTCATAATCACTATCAACAAAGTCACGGTAACCATTAATTTAGCTCTTATGATGTGTCAGACACTATTAATGCTGGGGATACAGTAAATAAAAAGAGGTTCTGCTCTTGGGTAGGTGGTAGTAAGTGTTTTGGACAAAAATAAAGAAGGGAAGGGGAGAAGAGTAATGGAGGGGATTTTTGGATAGGAGGCCCATTGGCATTGGAGAAAGACATGGATGACCCTGGAGAGTGGCATGGATGATGTAAAGGGATGAACCCTGGGAAAACAATGGGGAAGAGAATTTGAGGCAGCAGGAACATCAAGTGATGTCTTGAGTCAGAATGAGCTTGGTTTGTTCTCAGAGCACCAAAGACGTCATTGTAGCTGGAGTAGACTGAACAAGGGGAGAGGGGAGGAGATGAGCACGAGAAAACCAAATGTTGTTAGGGACCATGAAAGGATGCTGGTTTCCATTCTGCATAGGATAGGGCCAATGGAGAATTTATGTAAAGTGGTGTAATCTGACATAGGCTGTTGCATGAGGATAATCTGTAGGGGAGACAATGATGGAAACAGAAAGACCAGTTAGGAAGCCATTGTCATTTAACAAAGAGACTATGTTGTCTTGGGCATGACAATATGTCTTGGAAAGGGTAAAGCTACCCCATTCCTGTTTTACACTCTACGTCTTTTTTGAACTTAAAAAAGTGATGTATATTCCCATACCATACATTTTACTTTTTGAAAGTTTATGATTCAGTGGTTTTCAGTATGTTCACAAAGTTGCACACATTTTAATTCAAAAACATTTTTATCACTCCTAAAAGGAATCTTGGGTTCATATGAGTTTTTCTCACTATTCCTCCCTCTACTCAGTCCCTAGCCACCACTGATCTAGTTTCTGTCTCAAGGAATTTGCCTATTTTGGACATTTAACATAAACGTCCCATATGTAATCTTTTCTTTCCGGCTTCTCTATTTAATATAATGATTTTAGGGTTCATCTATGTTGTAGCATGCTCAGTACGTCATTCCATTTTGTGACTAAATTATATTCCATTGTCTAGAAATACCACATTTTGTTTACCCATTCACCTCATGATGTGCATTGAGGTTGTTTCTACTGGTTTTGTTTTCTTTTTTATGCTAGCCATCTTAATGGGTATAAAGTAGCATTCACTGTGGCCTTGATTTTTAAAATGTATTTTTAAAGTGATTTATAATACTGAGCATCTTTTAATTTATTTGTTGGCCATTTGTATACCTTCTTGGAGAAATGCCAACTCAAATCCTTTGCCAATTTTTAAAATTGGGTATTTTCATTTTATTGTTGAGTTGTACTTTTTATATATTCTGGTTTGTAATATCATATATACGATTTACAAACATTGTGTCCTATTCTATGGAATGTTTTCTCATTTTTAAATAGTATTACTTGAGGCATAGAATTTTAAAATTTTGGTGAAGTCCAATTTATCTTTGTTGTGATTACTTGTGTTTTTGGTATCATATCTAAGAACACACTGATTAATCTAGTGTTACAAAGACTCATGTCTATGTTTTTAAAAGAATTTTATAGTTCAGCTCTTGTACTGATGCATTTTGAGGTAAGTTTTGTATCCAGTCCTAATTTGCCAAGGCTGGTATAGTCCCATACTGTAAACTGGGCCTTAAACAACAAGTATTTATTATCTCACAGTTCCAGGACCAGAAGTCTGAGATAATTTCATTCTTCTTTGTGAGTGACTACTTCTCCATTGTGTATACATACTATTTTCTTTAACCATTCATCAGTTAATGAACTTTTGATTTGCATTTTTCTTTTGTTTGTAAAATTTATTTTTATAATTTTTACATGTATTTACATGTGTATATATTATTTTGTCTACCTCCCCACGCTGCATTTTCTGATGGCTAAGAATATTGGATTTTTAAATGCATTTATTGGCTGTTTGTACTTCTTTTGAAAAGTATCTGTTCAGTTCATTTGCCCATCCGTTGATTGGATTATTTTCTCTTTTGGTATTTAATTTTTTGAATTCTTTACAAATCCTGGATGCTAATCCCCTCTCAGATGAAGAGTTGACATAGTTTTCTCCTGTTCCATAGGCTGGTCTTTACCTGGTAATTGTTTCCTTTGATGTGCAGAAGCTTTTCAGTCTGATGTCACCCCATTTCTCCATTCTTGCTCTTATTTCCTGAGCTTTTGAAAACCTCTTTAGAAAGCCATTACCTATGCTTGTGTCTTGAGGTATTAGTCCCCTATGTTTTCCTCTAGTAGTCTCAAAGTTTTAGGTTTTACATTAATATCTTTGATTTCGAGTTGGTTTTCATGCAGGGCGAGCGATAGGGATCTAGTTTCAGTCTTCACATGGATCTCCAATTTTTTGTTAAAGAGCTGTCTTCTCCACCCTGTTTTTGGCACCTGTGTGGAAAATCAGATGGCTGTAGCTGCATGGGCTTACTTCTGGGTCCTCTGTTCTAATCCATGGCCCTGGTGTCTGTTTTTGTGCCAGGACTCTGTTGTTTTGTTACTATGGTAACTTCAATCCTTTGTGTATGGATATGCAGTTATCCTCTTTTGCATATGTGTTAAAATATTAGTATAACTTGCACTACTAGAAGTGGAATAGTTGAAAATTTGCTAAATATAAAATATCCTCTTTAGATACTGTACTATTTATTCTCTATGTAAGTATGCATAAGCAAGTGTATTAACATCTTACAAACACACCGTGCATTCAAGGGTTTATCATCTCATAGGAGAAAAACAGCAATCACTAGAGTTTTAATTTGTACTTATTTCATTAAATGAAAATTGAATATATTTTCATATGCTTAAGAGGCATTATATTTTCTTTTCAGTGAACTGTTCATCACCTTAGTGCATTATTTCCAGTAGGATTGTTGTTGTTTCTCACTGATTTTTAAGAAATTTTTTGTATCAAGGATATTAGCCATTTTTATATTTGTCATTTTTCTATTTGTTTCTATTTCTATAATTCATTTTATATAATAATATATACTTCCGTTTATGACCTCAAGGCTTGTAACAGAAATACTTAGAGTGGATTTTCAAACTCTGAAATATAAAAATAAAAATTCTGCCATGTCTTCTTTTTTCGTGCTTTTTTAGGTTTAAGTATTTGAAGAATTTAGAATTTAGTTTTGGTAAAAAAATGTGAGGTAAAAATTCAGATTTAATTTTTTCAGCACTGCTCACTTATTTTATTTACTCAGTAGGTGAAATATCATCTTTATCATGCACTATACCCCATATTTACTGGACTTCTTCCTGGACTCCGTGTTCTGTCCGCTGACTTGTCTGTCTGGGCATGCTCTATTGTTACATGCTAATGTGGTATATTTCAATGTCTACAGGAAGACTATTTCACCCTTATTTTTGAAACTTTTTTCCTGGCTATGCTTGTACTTTAGAACCATGTCTAATTTGATTGCAAATTATATTTATATTTCATTGGAATTGCATTGATGTTTTTGTTTAATTTAGATAAATCAGGATCTTTACTCTTTCTATCCATTTATTTTAGTTTTCTTATCTAAGTTTTAATCTATCATTAAGCTCTTTAGCAGTATTTAAAGATTTTCTTCAAGTCTTTTCATTTTTTTGAGTTTTTTCTTGTGGAGTCTGTTTCCAGATATTGCAATTTTTATGCTGCTATTGTACATTGATCTTTTCTTGCATTTTATTGTCTAACTTAGAAGACTAATGCAGTCTTGCTCTGACTCTTTCGGCAAGCTAAATATTTAACTTCAGGATATTATTCTACCCAGGCACATTGTCCCAATGCTTGCATTAGGTTGAATAAGTTCACTTTTCTCTCCCTGACGTGCACTGCTCCCCACTTTCAAGGGGCACAAGTCTCCATTTGGTGGCCTTCACTGCTCTCTTAAATCGCCTTCTGGGGAGATGGCAGACCTGAATCTGTTCCCTCATCAACAATAGGTGACTTTTCTAGCCAGGGGTGTGGCATACACCTGTAGTCCCAGCTATTCGGGAGGCTAAGGGTATTCGTGAGGCTTGAACCACTACACTTAAGAGCAGTCTGGGTAACATAACGAGAACTTGTCTCAAAACAAAACAAAACAAAACAAAACAGGACAAAACAAATAAAAACCCTGAATAAGTGGGTTTTCTGTTCATCAGCTGGGCTAAAGGCTATCCTACCAAATAGGAAATTGTGTCATGGTCTCAGTGGGACTGGCACTATCTCTCTTCTTAGTGACACCCGAGATGAGGTGATGGGACTTTTAGGGGTTGCTCGTCAGTGGTCAGCAGAGAAATCCTGATGGAAGTGGATGCTGACAACAGACAATTCTGTACCACTGTGGTGACTGGAACTCACCAAGTCGGAAAGGCTGATGTCATCATTTCTAGATGAGGAAATGAGGACTGGTGAGCTCGGGTACTGTAAACAAGTTGCTGTAAGTGACAGTGTGATCTCAGGTTGTCACTTTGGGCCCACTGCTTTTCCTACCATGATTCTATCTTACACTGGGTTTCTTTTCTCAGGAAAAGAGAAAGTGATATAGGATTGGCAGGAATGATGTTTTAGAATCTAGGTCAGCAAGTTTTCAGAGACTACTTCTCTGACTCGTGGCAACAATTTAACTGTATATTTTATTCTTAAAAGTTCCGGGGATGCACATGTCTCTTCATGTGGTAGTTTATATATTTCAATTCAGTCTTTTTCCACAGTTTGAACATTGCCTTGTGTTTTAACTAAAGAGTTTCATTTTATTCTCTCTTGTGGGTAATTAATTTTTGTCTGCCTATATGGCTGTGAAATTGCAAATGAAAATGCTGTATTTATTACAGGAGGACTTTGGGTCACCATCCGAGGCTCTAGTTTGGAAGGTGTTAGCCTAGTGTTATTTGGATCTCAGCCTTGTGCCATCAATGCCACCGTAAGCAATTCACGAGGAATTCAATGCAAGGTTCCACCCAGGGTAAGCGGAATCTTGGTGCCTCCTTCTGTCTGGGTGAGCAACCGTGATTAATGTAAGATTTTCAGCAAATCACTTCTTATACATTGTTTTGGTACGAAGACCCCACCTTCAACCAATACCAGTTAATTCCTTTAAAAACAGGCAAATTAGGCAGTCTGTGCCCACACTTTCAGTAAGTGTTAGTGCTGTAGAATAAAGTTACAAACTTATAAGCAAATGACAAATAGCTTAGTTTTCACAGGCAATTTTATTTTCCGGTATGGATATTAATGATTGAATTTGGAAAATTCTAAAATGCCTGGTTCCCACAAAATAGCTTCTTAGTTGTTTCCATTAAAAATAAATCCCCGCATTCCTCTTTCCTTTCTGTTGATGCTCTCTTTTGGCCCATGGAGGGGCTTGAGTGAGGTCCTTCCCTGGTACAGTTGGTGAAAATTGCTCTCAGAGCTGCAGTGGGACTTTCTATTCAGAGTTGACACCAGAGCCATCAACAGTCCTAGAATGCAATGATCCCAGAAGATGGCTGTCCACTGAACAAATAAAGATGCCCTGCAAGATAGGGTTCAGAATATCCTTTGATCCAGTGATCCTATGATTTTTATCTCATCCAGTTCCTTAAATATTATGAAATGCTAACTTTTATATGTAAACTACAGCCAACTCCAATATGTAGTTGCAGTGTAATTTGTTTAACTATTCCCTATTACTGGGCATTTAGATAATTTCTAAATTTCCCTTACTATAAACAACAGAGTTTTGACCATCTTAATAACTACATCTTTGAGCACATTTATTTTCTCAGGACTAATTGATCTAAATTTTAAAGCTTTTGATATCTAGTATCCTGCTGTTTGGAATTCTGTTTTCAATTTATACCCCCCACCATCACTTTGCAAGTTTCTCAGTTTTGGTACTCTGGCCAACCATGGTATTATCACTTTAATATATTTGCCATTTAATGGGTAAACTTTATACTGTTTGGATTTGTTTTATTGGCAGGGATAAACATTAGAAAAGCAACTCTTAATTTTGATCAAAGTAATACATGCAAAGGTTAAAAGGAAAATAGTGAAACAATCTCATGCCCCCTTTCCCTCTTTTTTCTAGTCCCCTTTTTGAAACAATCGTTTCTATTTCTTGTGAATATAATCGCACATTTTTGTTAAATCAATAGAACATGTTTACATTATAATTATTTAAATGATGCTGTAGAACCCAGGGAATATATTTTTCTTTTATAATTCTTTGTTTTTTCCCCCTAAAGTTTCTTTTTTTTCTTTTAGCATGTCTTTGTTATAATAGAAATTGATCATCTTTAAAAAAATTTTGTCATGTCAGCTATTTTTTTTTCCTTGAAGCTCTGTTTTTCCGCTTTTATGTGGTTGGCTATTTTCTAGGTTTATTTTATAGATTTCATATACTGTCCTTGATTGCTCTAATGAGTGGTTTCACTTTTTCTCAGAGTTCATATCTTCTCTTTTTTGATTTATTATTTATCTATGAGAGCCTCACCTTAATAAACAGGTCTGAAAGTACTCAGGCTTAATGGACAGGTTAGTTAGGTATAGCCATTTTTGAAATTGCCTTTTATTTTCTGGAAATAATTGTTGCATTAATTGTAAATCATTCTTATTTACTTATTAGAACAGAACATTTTTCATCTGTTCAATACTGCATTTACTTAATCTAGTACTTGTACTTGCTGCTCTGAGTGTGTATGTGTGTTGTGTGTGTGTGAGAGAGAGAGAGAGAATTGAAAGTTAGGTATATCTCTTTATCAACAACTTGGTTGAAATTAACCTTTTAAGTTAATTTAACGTGGACTTCTCTTTCCTGAAATCAAACTGAGATTTGATCTTAAAAATGGGTTTTTCAGGGGAGAAGTGGATACACTGTGAATGTGACTGTGATCGGAGGGGAATATTCCACAGTTCTTCACAGAGCATTTACATATGTCTCCTCCTTAAATCCAGTTGTTGTGTCTCTGAGCAGAAACCGAAGCAACATAGCAGGTAAGATACAGGGCACTACAAGATCTTTTTCTTTGTAGAGCATTGATCCTATAAAAAAATCAGCAGCCTATGAATTTCACTGTATTTTGGATGGAAAGGTATTTTTCTTCTGAAAAGCAAGTGACTTATTTTTATGTGGGCTGTCATTAATCTTCTTACATCCAATTTTCCCTCTGTAAAACCTGGGGCTATTCCCATCATGAAAATGATGTGAGAACTCAAAGGTAATAATTTAGTAAATATTTATTGAGCACCTAATATATTTTAATAATAATAACAAAGAATGTGAGTTTAATTTTATCCTTTTCACTAATTTATAGGATTAATAGCCTCAGTTTACACAGAAGAAAATTAAGGAATAAAGAGAGTAAGCGATTGTCTAAGATGCTACCTTTAGTCAGTAACAGAACTGGAATTTGAAGCCAGGCAGATGTGCAGATCTCAAGCACTCAGCCACTTGTACGGACAGGTACCATTTTTGGCAGCAGGCTCTGTTAGAGTAGTTACTTGATACAATTAGAGAATCAGGTGCTCTGATTAGCCAAGAATTCTTCTTTGAGATTTACTATGTATAAAAAGAATGGATTTTTTTTTTAGCACCAACCACATGAAATAATTTACCTTTTCTTGGATGATTCAGATGATACTGTGGTATGGAATGATAATAATTTCATGTCATACCAATACAGATTTGGAAAAGCAGTAGGTAACACCACTTTCTGGTTAATTGAATGCTAGATAACATTTTATAATAAGTGCGATAATCCATCAGTTATAATTATAATTCCCCAGTCATGCTGGGGATTAATTATAAAATGACCATCATATTTCCTAAAGAAAAATCTTGAATTCAAATTTTTCTGGTACTATTTTCATTTTTTGTAGCTCAAGAGTACATAAACAAAGGGAAGTACCCTGTAACTTCTGAATATTATTCAGCTCAGATAGCACAGAAGAATTTGCTGCCCCAGGCAACCAAAGTGTACAAAATTCCCTAGTGGTATAGATTCTTCCCAGTGAGGTAGAAAAGGGAGGCAGGAGCTCCATGTTGTATTCAGATTTCAGTGATTTTGGCTTTTAATAAAATTTCCTACCTATAATGAAAAGAATAAATACATTGCATCAGTGCCTCAAAGGCAGCTAGGATTAATGACCAAGATCCCAAAAAGTCATGTTATTGTTATATTCAATGCAATGCATTCTTTTCAGAATCCACACTTCCATTTAAATATTCCTATGGGCAGCATAAAGAAGAACGTGTTATAAAATCCATAAAGTATGGTGGTGATTGGGAAAGTCTTGTTAAGTTGGGATGCTACAAAGCTCCATCCAGGAAATGATGTTGCTGATGGTAGCGAAATCAAGATAAAATGGAAGAAGAAAAGAAGGAGGTGGTGAAGGGGGATGGAGGTGGGGGGATAATTCGATATGCAGGACTTTAGTATGGGTTTTGTTAAGAAAGAATTGAATCTGAATGAATCACAGCTCATCCACTTGTTAAAGAACAACTTAAAAATTAAATTTAACAGTTTACTTGTGCAAAAGAATGATCTGGGAATTTGGCAGTCCTCAGAACCAGAAGAAGTCACATAGCTCCACTGTACAGTGTGAGCAGGCAGCATTTATAGACAGAAAATGGAAGTGAGGTACTGAAATAGCTTGATTGGTCAGGGTTCCAAGTTTGCCATATTTGAGCATGATGTGTTTACTTGGCAGTCTGTGATTGGCTGAAGCTCAGCTGCTGTGATTGGCTGAAGTCAACTAGTTGTTATAAAAAATATACTCATAAATTAGACTCCCAGTTTGTTAATTACTTAGGTAGCAGTGCATTACATAGGGATTCCAGATATGGGTTAACTGAAGGCCAAATTTAGTTTGATTTAATATACAGTTGGCCACCAGTATCCATGGGTTCTATATCTTCAGATTCAATCTACCATGGATTGAAAATGTGAGAAAAAGTTGTGTCTGCACTGAACATGTATAGGCATTTTTCCTTGTCATTTTTCTCTAAAGTGTACACTACAACAGCTACTTGCATTTATATTGTATCAGGTATGGTAAACAATCTAGAGAATAATTTAAAGTACATGGGAATGTGTACGTAGGTTATATGCAAATACTTTGTTTTATAGAAGGGACCCAAGAATCCTTAGATCTTGGTGTGTGTGTGTTTGTGTGTGCTCTTGTTGTGTGTGTCCTGACACCAATCCACCATATATACTAAGGGGTGACTATGCATCTTGAGCAAGATGTTTAATTTCCCTTATCTTCAGTTTCTTCCTTTGTTATGTGAGAATAATTCTTTTAAATTTATTGTGAAAATTATAGGCAAAGCAGGTAAAAGTACCCAGTAGAGGAACCGGCATGGAATAAGCCCCTAAAATGCTCAGTTACAGTGGATGCCAGCACTTTGCTAGATCCTGAATGAGTTTAATCATGGACCTGCATGTCATCCCTCTTCACGGTACCCTGGGACCCATAAGCCCAAAAGCCTGCCAAATTCTAGTTTTTATACATGTAACTGCTTTATATACAGCAAAAAGAAACAGATTTTTAGTCACATAGCACTGGCTTGCTTTGCATACACCACAAAACTCCACTGAGGCAGCCACAGCTGCAAAAAACCCTAAAGACTGATGACCTTTGGAGCTCTCTGACTCAGAGACTGAGGGTGCCCAATCTCTGATATCCTTCTCCTGGAGTTCCCTTGCCCTCCTCTCTTTGGGGTCACCCTGAACTGTGCCTCTGGAAAGTACTCACTCTTTTGGTGAGCCTATGAAAGCACCAGCCAAATAAAGCTTGATTTGTACAATGCTGCTTTGTGGTCCTGGCTTTTCCCTTGACCCATCCTGAAATCTGTTGAACTCACTACTCGACATAGACCTCAAAATAGAGGTTGGGATGATTTGAGGAGGTGAATATGATGTGAAAGTGTGGAAGAATATGTAAATTAACTGATATTCTTTGTGTGCAATACAGTGCAGAGGTGATTGGATGGCAGTCAAATATCTGAAGGCAGTCACAGTCTCTCACCAGGCCACATCTTTCTTTGACTTTTCTACTTTTCTCCTTTAAGCAGCCTCCTTTTTCCTATAATCTACTTGGCTATTATGTCCTCTAGATTCCAACTCTGCTGTGGTTCTAAGATGTTACAGGCTGGAGAGTCTTTACAGGCACACTGAGACACAGGAACAGCAAGCACATTCATTCATTCATTCATTAAGTTGCAGACTTAATTTCCCACTCCTGCTGTTGCAGGCTGGCTTTCTCCTTCTCTATATTTTTACTTTATCTTAGCTTTAATCAGACCCTTCCCTTGCTTAGAAACCTGTGGAGGTCTCCACTGTCTACTGAATTAAGTAGAGACCCCTGGGGATTAGCTTTTCTCAGGTTCAAACACAGAAACACCATTGACTTGCCTGACTCCAACCTGTGTCTACATGCATCTGCCTTCCAGAAGGAAACCCAGTTCTCTTTCATTCTCTCCAATCAACTGATGGTTTCACTTTCTCTCCAGAGACTTACTTGGATGATTGAGAAAGTGCTAGAAAAGACTTTAGATAAAACTGTGAAACTTAGAAGTTTAATTAGAAGTCTTTTAACAGGATCTGTTTAAACATTTTTGTGTTCCTTGCAGTAGCTTCTTCACCAGACTCAATGAGTATTTGAGTTAAAAATGGAAAGGTTCATAGTACACAGCATGTTAGTAGAGTTGATAATTACTCTACAAAACTACTGAATTACGTGACAGATGGCTGGGCTCAGGCCTGGACGTTTCCATAGCAAGGCTATGAGGCCTTGCTTGATGAGTCTTCGTTTCTTCAAATGCAAAATGCCAGCCACACTCACATGCATTGTTAGGACAGCGGGAGGATCAAGTGGAAACACATGCATGAAGATGCTCTGTAAACTCTGAACTATTGTACAGAATGAGAGGTTTCCTTCTGATATTTCCACTCATACAGTCATATTCATCCCCTCTATTACTCTTTCTGATTTCTCCTTCTGCCACCACACCTTTTAAAACTTTCTTACACACCTTTTAAATGGATTTTATTATGTCCTTTGCATATGTGCATACAGTGTACTTCAACCATATTCTTCCCCACCCCCCGCCACCTCCTCAAAAATCCTGCTAGATTTTGCTAATACAGATAACTAAAACAGCACAAATTGAACTGTCGTACTCGTATATGACATTATTTTAAGGTTCGGTGTATGTTGGAGGTAGAGTTTTAAATGCCTACCAGTAGAACAGCAGAGGTTAAAGAGAAGGTCACAGGGCTCTATTGGCTGGCTACGAAGACTGTTCGCCCTCCAAACGACCTCTAGATTTGCCTTTACATTGATGTAGGGTAGTACCTCTTTTCCTTTTTTTTTTTTTAGATACTTAGGTTTGAACTCAGGGCCTTGCACTTGCTAGGCAGGCATTTTACTACACTCCTATCCTTTTTGCTTTCATTATTTTTCTGATAGGGTCTCACATTTTCCTCCAGGGCCAGCCTGGACCACAATCTTCCTACCTACAGCCTCCAGGGTACCTGGGATGATAAGCTTATTTGTTGAAATGAGGGAGGGGTCTTGCTAACATCCTCCCAACCCCTGGGCTAGCCTTAAATAACAATCCTCCCAAACTCTGCCTCCCACATAGCTGGGATTACAGGCATGAGTCACCATACTTGACAAATTAGTACTTCTTTACTGTTGGCCTGATATTTTTGCCTTTTAATCCCCTTGAGGATTTAGGTGGTACTCTGTTTTAAAAAGTTGTTAGAATTTTCATGAAAAATAGATGAATATTAAAATTTTAATTTGAGAAGTATGCATAGTATAAATGCCATGTATTTAATCTGAAAAGAAATCAATGGTTGAGGCCACAAACCCACATGTCAGAGAGGTTAATAGATTTTTTCTCAACACAGGAGGTGAGATGCTTTTTCTTGGAATGGCACTGCTGGTGAACTATACAGACCTGGATATAGAAGTCCGTGTCCAGGACACCTTGGCTCAGGTTCAAGCACAGACGGCTCTGGGCCTGGAGGTGGTGCTGCCCCCACTGCTGGCTGGCCTCCACAGGATTTCAGTCTCCATCAATGGCATCAGCATTCACTCAGAAGGGTGAGGTGGACGCTACCATTAATGTTGGGTCTGTTTGGTGGTCTAGCAATTCAGAATGGGGAATTCTGGTTTTGAGTTAGGTCTTTTTTTTTTTTTTTCCTTTTAAAGTGAGGAGAAAAAGTCCCCAAAAACCTTGAGTTTCATAACATAAACAAATCTTGGAGACTCTCCAGACATTTCACTCCCACGACTGAGGTAGGGAAACATTTTGGCTCATTCTGGAACTTGACTGTAGTGGGGAGTTGGTGGGCATCCATATCTGAAGAAGGGAAGATTGAGTCTGGAACTTTACATAGGTGGTTCACCATGACTGCACAAGTCATGTCTCCTTCCTTGCCATCATCTCTCTCTTTTCCCTGACAGCCCTCTGTCTATTATTTCTCCATTCTGGAAATAAGCTGAACTGTGTGGCACTAATGTTACCATATGACCCTGACCCAGGACCAGTCCCACACAACATCTTTTACCCTCTGTTCCCTTCTTCTCTGTTAGGCAGTATCATTTTCTACCACTCTCTCTCTTCCATCTTCTCAAACCATTTTCCCTCTAGCTCTCCCTGTTATTTCCTAGCAATATACTTATCTTTTGTAGAGTTGATCTCCACATCCAGTATAGCACGGAAGTTTTCAGCATCGAGCCTTGCTGTGGGTCGCTTCTGGGTGAGTGGTTCTGACACCACTAGTGTCATTTATCGCATGAGTTTGTTCACTAGATAGTCTGATTTTGTTCCTAGATTAATTAGCTTGTGAGGCCAGAGCCAGGGGCAGCAACGAGAGTTTTCCTTAAGCCCCAGGAGCTGAGTGGTATACTTTAAAGTTCTGAAAATTTGGTGATACCTAAGCCAGGAGCTCAGGAAATTAAAGAACTTTTATGAAAAGGAGATTTCCAATTTTCTTTTCCTGCTTGCAGTGCTGGTGTTCTTACCACTTGAGCCACTGCACCACCCTTTCCAATTTTCTTTTCCTAGTGGGAAGGCTGAAGCATCCAATGGGCAGCACTTTTGAGCAGATATTAGGAAATCAAGGGACAAGCTTTCTATGTTAGCCTTTTATTTTTATTTATTTATTTATTTTGATGGTACTAGAGTTTGAACTTGAGGCTTCATGTTTACTAGGCAGGTGCTACACCACTTGAGCCACTCTTTCAGCCCTTTTTTTTGGTGTTGGCTATTTTGAGAGAGGGTCTCATGAACTATTTGCCTGGACTGGCTTTGAACTGCAATCCTCCTGATCTCTGCCTCCTTTTTTTTTTTTTTATTCATATGTGCATACGATGTTTGAGTCATTTCTCCTCCTACCCCCTGTCCCTTCCTTCTCCCCCTGATCCCTAAGTAATTAGGATTACTGGCTCCTGGCTCCGTGTTAGCCTTTTAGATACCACATATGCAAGGAGAGGGAATGAGTCTTCAGTTTTTTCACTATCTTCTAGGGAGACATATGAAGGCACAGAAAGTCAGGAACACAAATCCAACATGGGAGATGTCAAAACAAGAAACATCCATTTTCAGAAAAGAATTGAGTTATGGTTGTGATAGTGCAAAAATAGCACATTATTCTTTTTTGAGCACAGGAATATACTTTTTAAAGCTCATTGGTTATACTTGGATTTGATTATATTTGTTATGTTGTTTCACCAACATAACAAAGATGGGGTTTGATCTTTGATCATCTCCAAACTAGAAAGTAACACAATGCCTATGAATGTAGTAGCAAATTTATCAGCATGGTGGAATGGCTCTTGATATCACATGTATGAGTATATTGTATTATATTATATTTTATTTTACTATATTATAGAATTATAGCATATATAGAACATATTAGAATATATGATACTGAATGGAATATTGGAATATTATATTGAATAGTACAGAAGATAAATAGAAGGCTTCAGTGAATTTTATGTATTAAGTGTGTAAATTGAATGCTTATAGAGCTACATACATATACTCTATATAATAACATATGGAATAATACGTCAGATAGTATAACAGATGACAAGAAGATGAAAGAATTTGATTTTGGTGGCACTAGGGTTTGAACTCAGGATCTCACACTTATTGGGCAGGTGCTTTACATGTGATCCACTCCCTCAGCCAGAAATTAATTTTTCATTAAAATCAAAGTTAATGGAAGTGGTGATTTCTAGGATATATGAAGGCATTTAAAACATTGATCTTAAGTATTGCAAACATCCCTCTTAGATAACAATTTTATTTTTCTTTACTGTTATGTAAATTTTGGTTCATCTGGCCCCTGTCCAAATGATCCCAAGTTTAGCATTGGTGGGGTGAAGTTGCTGGGGGTTCATGTACCCCACTTTCCACGTAATTTCGCCAGAACTTACCCAGATGCTGTGCAATTCTAGTTCTGAATGTTAGCTTTTAACTTTTCTTCCCTTACTTTAGGTGGAACGACCCTCCTCATCTCAGGAGCAGGGTTCAGTAGGGACCCAGCTTTGGTTTGGGTACTTGTTGGCAATCATTCCTGCGAAATTGTAAACTTGACGGATGTGAGCATCTGGTGTGAGACCCCTCCGGCCCCCCTGCTGCCTGATACAGATGCTCTTACTGTCCCAGTGCCTGTGGAGGTCTGGGCTGGCAACACGTCCTTCATCCAAGGACCATCACCAAGTTTGGTGGGGAAGGAACTTACCTTCATGTACGATGCAGCAACGACACCAGAAGTCACTGCAATGTGGGGGGAAATCATGAACAACAGCCTGATGTTGTACGTGGAAGGAAATAACTTTTCCAACTCAGCCGTCCTTCTGGGGAGCTTGAGATGTGATCTTGAGGCAGAGTCTTTGGAGGGCAATAGCAGCCTCTCTGGGTGCTCTTTTCCTCTTCACAGTTTGGAGGCAGGCATCTATCCTCTCAAAGTATGTCACAAGCAGATGGGATTTGCTAACATGTCTGCAGTGCCTCAGCAATTTAAGGTGACCCCTCAGATAACGACCATCTTTCCAACATATGGGTCTGCATGTGGTGGAACAGTACTCACTGTGAAAGGGTTGGCTCTCAACTCTAGAAGGAGGTCAGTTCAGGTTGACCTTTCAGGCCCTTTTACTTGTGTGATTTTGCGTTTTGAAGACCACACAGTTCTCTGCCGGATCAACCTGGTAGGTGACTACTTGCCTGGAGCTTCCATCACTCTACACGTCACAGTCCTGATTAATGGGATAACCAGCAAATGTCAAGGAAATTGCAGTCTCTTCATTCAGGAAGACACAACTCCTACTGTGGATGTCTTGACTGTAAACAACAGTGGCTCTCTAACCACTGTGTTCATGAGGGGTCAGAAGCTAGGCATCACAGCTGATAAGCCAGTGGTGTTTGTGGATGATCAACTTCCCTGTGATGTAACTTTCTTCAATGCTAGCCATGTGGTATGCCAGATAAGCAACTTGACCCCAGGACTCCACTATCTATCAGCTGTTCATACAAGTAGTGGGTATGCTTGCTTGGGTAATGTTTCCAGGTACTTTTCTATTATGCCTCAAGTGCTTGATTACTTCCCTAAGACTTTCAGCAGACATGGTGGATGTCTTTTGGCCATAGAGGGCACAGCCCTGATGGGGCAGAATACCACATTAGTCTACATTGGCCAGAAGGCCTGTCTGACAGTGGACATCAGTTCTGAGCTTATCCAGTGCATTGTTCCTGCAGGGAATGGTTCCATTGCTCTGGAAATAGAGGTGGATGGAATTTTGTATCATGTGGGAGTCATTGGTTACAGCAATGCCTTCACCCCAGAATTGCTCTTGGCTTCTCAGAGTGGTGACATCTTAACCATTACAGTGGCTCAGATCTCAGAAGCTGCAAATGTTGACATTTTTATTGGGACTTCACCCTGTGTGGGTGTCTCTGGTAACCACACAGTTCTTCAGTGCATGGCCCCTGTTTTACCTGCTGGAGAGTACCATGTCAGAGGCTATGACCACACCAGAGGGTGGGCCTCATCTGTTCTCATGTTCACAGTGAGAGTTACTGTTACAGCAGTGACTGAGAACTTTGGTAAGTCAAGCAAATAAGAGAGGTCACATTCTTTATGTAAGTGGACTCTCTCACTTCTAAGAGGAAGGAGATCAATATCATTTTGTACAACAGAAGGAAAGAGAAACCAGGTGGCTTCTGGCAGCCAGTTTCTTCCTGAGTTTTGTCTTTGTCATGCTCCACTTATGAGCTTTGTTTTTTTTATCAAGGAAATTATGCATATCTCTAAGTATTTGATTGTATTTTGATTTGATGCATCAACAAAGTTTAATATGTGTTTTAAATTAAGTAATACCATTTGTAAGAACTCATAATCTGATCACTTAAAGACATAAATGTCTTCAGCTTGGTTAGACCTCTATGCCAATTTGTTTTATTTAAAACTTATTAAATATTAATTTTTGCCATTTTGTAATATTTCACAGACAAATTCTCACTCATCCAATAATGAGCCAATGGGATAGTACACTTTGCATTAGTTGAAGTTTTTTTCTCCTTTTAGATATACTAAAATTTGTCTTGCCTTTTCTTTCAATGATGATTTAGGTTTCTGTTCACTTAAAAATTTTCCAGTGTGTTTCAGATGGAAATAGCTCAGGTTTGATTCTAATTTAGAGAATATGGAGTATATGGTGAAACAAGAATCTTGGATTGATGAGGTACTAGCTAAACCATTTCTTAAAAGAAATTTGGCCTCAGCTGAGTGGAACGCTTTAGGGATTGGGGTTTGGGTCTCGGGCTATCACCAATGTTGCTGACTTAGGCTTCACATTTCTAAGACTCAGCTTCATTATTTGATAAAGGAGTTTGGGCTGGATGCTCCCTGAATTGCCCTTTCTATCCCCTAAGATTCCATATTTTCATGGTGAAAGAGCAGCATGAAATGTATCATAAGCAGAAAACACATTCTCCAGTTTGTCAGGTGGCTTGGGATGAGGCCAGTAGAGATTGGATCTCTGTATCTCAGAATGAACTAGAGGCATGGACTCTTTTTGCTAATATGACTATTCCTAAAATATGTAATTATCACAGCACTATTATAATAGCAAAACATAGAAAAACAGAGGTATCAATCAAGAAAAATTATTAAATTTGATATAATTATGTAATGATATTTTAAGTAGCTATTAAAACGATATGGATCTATCTATGTAGGTTTGCAAAAATATCTATGCTGTACTTTAAAGAAACAAATTGTAGAACAATATGTATAGAAGGATCCCTTCATACCCAAATACATGTGCTTTGAAAATTCTGCAAGAAACTTCATACATGGATGCCTCTGGAGAGTGAGATAAGTGGTTGGGGAAACTTCTGTTTTGTGCTCTTTTGTATAAAGAGTTTAAAAACTATAAATAATCATAATTTTTTATATAAAATGGTTTCGCTTCAAAAAGCCCTTCAGCAAAGAGGTTGTTGCGTTTGGCTGAAGTCTGACAGAACCCTGGAGGCCAGGACGAAGTGGAGAGCTCGAGGAGGGAGGGCCTCAAACCAGTTGTGTGCACTCTGCAGCATGTAAGAGGATGCACAGCAAGAAAGCAAAGATTTGAGTTTTAAGTTACATAAAGAGGATTTCCGTCTAAGATCATGGACGTGCAATTTTGTCTTTAAAGGCTGTCTGGGAGGAAGGCTTGTGCATGTGTTTGGAGTAGGATTTTCTCCAGGGAATATCTCAGCTGCGGTGTGTGGTACTCCTTGCCAAGTCTGGGCTAATGCTACAGTGTCCGCCTTCAGCTGCTTGGTTCCTCCCCTGGATGGTGAGTTAAAACACCACATATCTATTTTTTAAAGCATATATATGAAAATGACATTCTTCGGCTCATTCTGGTTTTGCCATTACTGCTGTACTGATCATTACTTTCCTATGTGTTCCTCAGAATAGAATTCCTCTCTTCTCCATTCAAAATGGTAGTTAGACTCTGTTGCCATCTATTAAAATGGTCCATCAGACCTTTTGTCTTTATAGTGGGCCAATATTAAATGAACATTGAAAAATGTTTCACCTACACTCTTGACTACAGTGAAATGAGGCTGTAGAGAGTAATTCTGGGTTCTGAATATTCGTTTCCATGACAGACATTGGGAAGGGAGCAAGCTCCTGAACTTCTGGCGAGGGAGGTTGCTAAGGACATCAGCTTCTGGAGGTGCAGTAAAGGGGTAAAGATGAACAAGCCGGACACGGCTTGTTTGGTTCTTTTAAGCTTGTCGTGCTGGGGATGGAGCCTCGGGCTTTGTGCCTGCTAGGCAAGTGCTCTGCTATTGGACACTTCTGGAATATTGGCTTTCTGTGTTCAGTATTATAAGCAAAAGAGACAATATTCACATTAATCTATTGTCCTGCAATGTCCAGATGACTCACTCAGTAAAACAACAGGATCGCTCACTGTTCACTACTCTACACTGCATAGCCATCGTGGTATGTATGGTTTGAGAAGTCACACAGTTCTCCTAAACTGGGAGAGATTATAGGGGAAGGCACAGAGTGTGGGGTTTCACACCATGTGGTAACTACTCACTGAGTCTCAGGAAAAGAAAAATAAACCCAAGTGAGGAAAGTACCCTCATTACAGTAGGGCCTTATTGCATTTGAGAGAGCTCAAATCAAGCAAGTGATTATGTTGTTTGCATAACCCTAGGTCTTGAAATTTTGCAGTTAGGAACCATTTACTCAGTAACATTCTGAGTTACATTCTTCACTATTTGTCCACAATTTGGATGTGTGCTAAGGATTTAAGAAGAGATGAAATCATCGCTTCACCCGAGCTTAGAAATAATTCCATGATGGATAGTACTGTTGCTGTGGAAGTTTACACTGTGTTGTTCTGGTGCGGAGGAGTAGGTGTGGGGCAGAGGAAGAGGGAGAGGACAGAGGAAGTAAGGCGGAGGAGAAGGAGAAGAAATTATCCTTGTTTATCGTAATGCTGGAAACTGAATCTCCTGTTGTTGTCATATGTGTAAGTTCAACACATGGAAGAGAGTTCAACTTCACAGTGAGAAACCTAAGATGCAATAGCAACTTTAAGATGCCAACTATTTCATTTACTGTGCTACCTCCCCTGTACAGAACAGTGCTGATATAGAAGATGTATAAGAAGGTGCAAGATTAATGAAAGAGTAAATGAGAGAATTAGGGAAGAGCAGAAATTAAACTAAGATGGCATATTTCTAGACTGTGGTCTTTAATTAGAACTACTTTTTTTTCCCTAAAAGATTTCTCATAGGCATTGCTTAACTTAATAAATTTTAAAGGCCCTTTTTGTCTTTTCAAAACATTTACATTTCAGCCGGAAGTACAAAATAAAAATCAATGAGGTTTCAGGGCCAGGTAAATTTTGGCATTGTAAATTTGATAACTCATAGGATAAAATAATAATGTTTTATTTTAAAAGATTTGATTAACTTTTAGAGGAAAATCTGAAAATCCTTAATTTTGAAAAAAGCAAAGCGTTAAGTAGAGAGCTATAATTAATATTGCCACTAGATGTCACCAAACACTCATCAATCGTTGAAAGCACACATTCAGAGAAATGAGTCATTTGACTTTTTCTTTAAAAAGTATTTTAAAAGATCTCTAACCTCATCATTCAAAGATAGAGAGGCTGGTGGTTCATGCCTGTAATCCTAGCAATTCAGGATGCAGAGATTAGGAAGATCGTGGTTCCAAGCCACATCCGGGCTAATAGTTTGCGAGACCCTATCTCAAAAAAACCCTTTACACAAAAACAGGGCTGGTGGAATTGCTCAAGGTGAAGGTCCTGAGTTCAAGCCCCAGTCCTGCAAAAACAACAACAAAAAAAGATGGAGAGGAGCTTGTGAGACCCAACTGCAAAGGTCCCTTATTTAAGATTTGTGCTGAGATTTGTGGGTTCTGTGGAACCTCTGAAATTGGGTTAAATGAGTTTTGAGAGCATGATTGTGGGTTTTTCCTTAGGAGGTAAGTCTATAACGGACATTGAATGGTCAAAGAGATGAATCTGAGAAATTATTAGAAATTGCTAATAATTTTCCCACTTTCAGATAGAATTGCATATAACCAATTTTGCCAAGAATATGTTTTGTTTTAGAGGAATTTTCAGAGGAGGATTTCCAAGAGGCACTCCTCATACCTGTTTCACAATTATCATTCTCAGAGAAATCCATCTTTCTAGCTAACTAATGCTGTATGCCTACCACTGGACATCTTTCAACCTCAATCCTATGATGGCTTTTGGAAAGCTGAGCCATCCCAGACAGCTAAGGCAGGGGTTCTCCAAGTGTGGTTGCTAGTGCCACTGCACAGCCTCACCTAGGAGCTTGTTAGGAACGTGATTTCTTGGAGCTCATAGAATCAGGAACCTTCCAAATAAATGTTTTGGTGTTTCTCTCCTGTGCCTTCTCTGAAATCCTACATTCTTGCCTGCCTAATGTGAAGACCTAAACTGGATAACTCCTCTGGGCAAGCAAGTTCTGGCCATATTGAGTAACATCATAAAATGCGTGCAGAAAATCTGGTTCCATATTTGTTTCATAAAATCGCACTGCTGTCTTGCTGGTTTATAACCTTTCTGTAGCCTACTATTTCCAGTATGTGTGTGTGTTTTAACATGGCTGTGCCCAGCTGGAGTTTCCTCATATCTATATAACTTTTTTTCTTTCTCCTGTAGTTTACTGCTATAATCTTTTCATTTGGTCTTTTGTTTATTTCTGTTAACTTCTCTAATTTACCAAGGGTCACTTTGAATTCCGACCCTTGCTTTGAATGTTATTCTTCAGTTTGACTTTGCATGACAGAGTGATGATTTACATTCCAGGTGATAGATGATGTCTCAGAGTCCAATCTTTCCTCATTGTTGTTTTGCTTGTTCCTGTGCCATAGTTCTAATTTGTTTCTTTTTCATGAGTGGGGCAGGGGAGTAAAAGATGAAGATCAAAAAAGTTCTTTTGCTACTTTTGGGATCACTTATCTTTACCCTTTTCCCAAATTGTACTTTTAACCAAAGAAAAACTTTGCTTTTTGATGTGATGGGTGCTAAAACATCCTGTTAGGTGAAACTAATACTCTGCATTTGTTTAAAATGAACAAGATCTTTGATCTTCGGGTTTCTTGCATTTATACCTTGAATTATACCAAATGACTCTTTCATGGAAACTAAGTTTTCATGAGGCATGAAAAGCTAAAGCGATTAAGGTCACAGAGCTATTTAGTGGCAGAACTTTGAGTAAAATCCATGGATTTTGATCCCCAGCCCTGGGTGCTTTTCATAATCCACCTTGTCAATTTGCATCCACTTAATCACCTGTAATGAATTCATTATTTTATAGGTGTTGAGCCTGTTTTTATTTGCTTTGGGCTTACTCACTGGAAAGTTCTCATGCTTTGTTTATCCACATGAGAGCCCTACTCTCATTTTTATTGTGATTATTCATTCAAAGCTCATGTACAGAGAACTCTCTAGGTATCAGGTGTTTTGGAATGTAACCTCGAGGAAGATGATAACATTTGTGAGTGCTCATGTCACAGCTCCTTTAGTCCTAGCTGCTGGCACTGCGATGAGGCAGGTATTCACAGATGCAAGCTACTTGTCCTTGATAGCGTTTGTACATACCTGTGATGACAGGCTAGCTGCAGAGGCAGCAGGTGGAGAAAGTCCCCCTCTCCCTGGTTTAGCGTTTTCACAGAATATTGCTCTTCCATCATCTCAAGCAGAGATTTATTTATCTTCCAATTAAAGACTGTTGTTGTTTTGCCTTATTGATACTTTCTACATGTATCCCACTATCCAGGAAGAAATGGCCTGAGGCTTCAAAAGCTTCAAGTACTTGCTTTACTTCTTTATAGAATGTTAATGTTCACAATTATATGACGACCAAGAACTTCTGTTAATGAAGAGATCTCATAAAGAGTGAAAAGTCGAATTATAAACCTGGAAAAGATAACAGTAATGATATACCTTCCAGAAGATAGATACCCAGAATATATAAATCAGTAAGAAAAAGACAAACAACTCTACAGAAAAATGGGCAAATAACAGGAGTAAAAATTTCATAGAAGGGTCATGAGTTATTACTAAACATGAAAAAGTAGGCAATATAAAAATTAATAATGAAAATGCAAATTAAGGGTGGAGATGTGGTTCAAGTCGTAGAGTGCCTGCCTAGCAAGCCGAAGGCCCTGAGTTCAAACCCCTGTAATGCTAAAAAAAAAAAAAATAGAAAAAAAGAAGAAAATGCAAATTAACTCAGGAGGGGAGATCAAGAGGATTGAGATTCCAGGCTAGCAAGTTTAAAAACTAAATGAAACCCCCATCTCAATCGATAAGCTGGGCCTCATGGGTCATGCCTGTGATCCTAGCTTCGTGAAGGCCATAGGTAGAAGGATGTGGTCTGAGACTGGCCCTGGGCACAAATGTGAAACCCACCTAAAAATACCTAAAGCAAAAGGGCCAAGACAGTGGCTCAAATGGTAGAGTGTCTGCCCAGCAATCACGAAGCCCTGAGTTCAAACCCCAGTATCACAAAAATAATGCAAATTAAGGCCACAATGTGATATTATCTTATACATACTGGATTGGCAGAAATTAAGAGTCTGATAATTTCAAGTGTGGAAGATTGTGAAGGACTGGAACCTCATGAATATAGCTGATAGGAATGTAAAATGGCATGCTCACTCTGGAAAACAATATGGCACTCTTATAAAGTTGAACTTCTCCTACAAGCTATTTTCTATACAGGCATTCACCCTAGAGAAAATTTGGTACATGTTTGTAGTAGCAAATATTTGGAAATATCCAAAAGTCAAAAAATAGTTAAATACATTGTAGTACTTTCATGCAGTGCAATACTGAACAGCAGTGAGATGGTATTAACTATAGCTACATGCAATAATATAAATAAATATTAGAAATCAGACACCGAATGAAGAAAGGAGTTACCAGAATATTTTGTCGTGTATTGTATTTCATGAAGTTCAAAACCAAAACTCAACAGTGTCTTGTTTAGGAATTCAAATCTATTCAATAAAACTATTTTTAAAATGCCAGGTGGTTATTTCTAAGGATGAAGAGGAAGGGATTGAACCTAGGGAGGAGCAAACAGTTTCAAACGCATTATTACTGCTTTCAATCTCATACCTAGTATGTTCACATGAGTCTTTATTTATCATGATGGTTTATATTTTCCAAAAATGTTATTGATATTCTTCTGTTTGTTTAAATTAATAGTAAAATATATTCATGTGTAAAATCACGTATTTAACAATCAATATACACTTAAGAAAAATGAAGGATAGGAAGGTAAAACAGGTCCTGTTTAGGGGTGGATATCAGTGGGAGAGGGTAGGAGTAAAAGGAGAGGATGGAGGAGGGTGAATATGGTTGATGTACTTTGTATACATGAGCAAAAATAAATCAATGAAACCTGTTCAAATTGTTCTAAGAAGAGGGGAGGGGAATAAGGGAGAATGAGGGAAGAGGTGAATCTAATTAAGATATATCGTAAGCACATATGTAAATGTCATGATGAAATCTCCCTGTATAATTAATATATGCTAGTAAAAATGTAAAAACATGTAAACTGATAACTTTATTTTCCTATTGACTAAGGGAGGACACCTGAACTTCATTCATGAAACAGTGTGAGGCCTTCACTACTTTCCATGGATTTACCTAACCTCATGGTAACTTTCTTACAGTGTCCTTGGCTTTCCTGTGTGGCCTGCGGGGTGAGGAGGACAGCTGTAACATCAACAGCCATACCTATGTGCATTGTGATTTGACTGTCACCATGGGGACAGAGAGACTGCCTGAAGCATGGCCTTACCTCTACATTTGTGAAGAGAGTTCTCAGTGTCTCTTTGTGCCAGATCACTGGGAGGAGTCTGCCCGTCCATCATTCTCAGGCCTTTTCATCAGGTAGCTCTATCTTCTGTTCTCTCTTACCTTCCCTGATGGCTCATGGGCTCTTGGACAATGCACCCACAGGGTCATCAGAAAGCGTGGTCTGGGTGGACATGGCCTGCCTGGGGCCTACATCGCTCATGGAGGGGCCATTCCATCATAGATTCCAGCTAGCCTGCATATCAAAGCATCTACTGTCTTTTTTAAGTGTTCAAGAGAACATCTGAAAAATCTGCCCAGTAAACAGCTCACTTTGTTCTTGCTTAGATTTTAATATTTATCTTCCGATCCAAAGCAACATCTGGTGAATGCCAATGGGGAAAAAGATTAGACATTATGAAAAACAGAAGGCTTTTTTCCTTTTTCTTTTCTTTCCAAACAGATTCACAAATATGAAAAAAATCAGAGAAATCCAGCAGATTGCACAATGTTTATTCAAAAAGAGGTGTGTTGCACAGCAGAGTTACCGTCCATCTATGATTTAGAAACCATAAGCTCATAAGGACATTTTGCACTTAAAAAAAGGAAAAAAAAAGTCTAACAAATAAATGCCACAACTCTCCAGGTTAAATCCCTATTCTAAACCGATTTCTAAGATGAGACCATGTTGATAACTCTGGATAGACTTAATTCCAGCCAGGAGGTTCATTCTCACGCTGCAGGCTGACATCTTAGCACCAAACATTGCCTTGTGTCTTTATTGTTTATCTGGACAGAGTGGTTATATCTGTTCAGTGAAGACCCATTTCCTCATTAAAATATAAAAAAACTTAGAGTTTTATATTTTGTACTCAAGACTGAGTTCCTGCTATGAAGGAAGTAGCCAGCCCCTTTGCATGGCAGTCTTTCTGATGTCTGTTTTAGTCAGAATTTGCCACCAGAGATTTGTGTTTAGCTGGAAGAAAAGAGGAATGTCCTTGGCTGTTTGCTTTCTTGAAGGGTATGATAAATGCTGCTTAGGTCACATAAGAAATGGGAGTTGTACTCAGGTAAGACTAGATCTCAGAACTCAGTAATGTTGGCCACCAAGAATATCCCTGAATGTAGGGACATTATCTGAATCCCCAAAACAATTGCCTTAAGTTCTCCCATGCCCTTCCTCTTTGTTCTCAAAGGTGGCTGAGGCAGCTGAGTCTCAGATACATTGAAAATTGTGCCCTTTCCTATCACTATCATTTCAAAGGTGCTGCTCAGTATTTGGGTATTGCAACCAGCAAAACTAGGTGGGTTTCCTTGGGTAAGAATTAAGGGACATATAATTGAAACAAAGTTTATGTTTCCTATTGATGAGGGTAGAACCCTCAATGCTCTTCATGGCTAGTGGAAGATAAACTGGTATAATCTTTAGAGGACAATTTGACAGAGCACTAATTAAAACCTTAGAATTCTTCATGCTCTGTGACTTGGCAGTTTCATTCTATGATTTTAAGAAAGCAGACAGAAGTGGGCAATATTTATAAACAGACATGTTCTTTGAAGTTTTAGGTATAAAGAAAGTATTTGAAATAACTTCAGGTAGTACAGAATGAATCCAAATAGTATACTAAAAAACTTTAAAAAATAATGATGTAAAATATTCAACCAAATAGGAAATGCTTGCAAGGTATTGGGAAGTAAAAAAGCAATAGGTCAGAAAATAGTGTATCAGCTTAATCCTACTGTTGAATATGACATATGTTTATGCATATATAAGTGATTCGAAGGAAAAAAAGACTAGAAGAGGATGGATTCTAGACAAGAAGTTTTTGTTTTCTTGTGGTGCTGGGGATTGAACCCAAGGCCTTGGGCACTCTACCACTGAGCTGTATTCCTAACCTTGGAAGGATGCATTGTAAAATGTGGATAGAGCCTAGCTCTAGGTGCTAAAGTGCTGATCATATTTATTTTCTATGTTGAGTTTTTATGTGTTTCTCTAGTGAACATATGTTAATTTAATAACTGGAAAATACACTATAAGTTATGCAAGGGTTTAAAAAGTCATGCCAAGTAGATTATCTGTTTTCTCTTAAGGTATGGTTATGAACTTAGAAGACTATTTTCCAGGGTCTTTTGAGGGGAACCAACTTCCAATAAATACTGTATCTCTTTATCAGCACTATCACTGTGATATTATGTCAAATGACAAAAGAAGATGTGCATCTGTGGCAACAATGTGCTTAGTCTGTCCATTCATCCATCGTCCATCCATCCATCCATTATTCATCCATTCATCCATCATTAATCCATCCATCCATCCATCCATCCATCCATCCATCCATCTCATCATCATCTATTTACCATTTGCCAAGTGTCTACTATGGTTTAGGTGTTGTGCCAGGTGCTGGTGACCCCATGGTGTTGGGACAGGAATGTCCTTTCCCTGAAGAGTGGTGGAGGAAGAGGGCAAACAGGATAACCAACAACCTGATGAGTGCTATACTGTGATTGAAAACAATGGGGTTCTTTAGATAGCATGCTTATGTCAAGATAAGAAGAGAAGATGTCACTGGAGGAGTCAGACATGCGGGAAGCAAAGGCAAAGGCACCATCAGCTCTGCAGAGGCCAGCTGGGCAGGAGCACAGTGAAAAGGAAGGAAAGCAGCCAGAAAGAAGTAAGGAAAGGAAAGCTGTATGTAAATAAATGTCTTGACAAATAAGGCAAGGAATTTGGATTTTCTTCTAAGTGAGGATGAAGTCACTTTTCAAAGTCCCACAGTCAAGCCATAACAGCATCATAACCAGAATCCAAGGCTTTTTCTGAGACACCATGCCCTTTGCACAGTGCTTTGCCATTGGCTTCTGTGAGGAGAGCTTGTCTGAGTGGTGTGTGGTTGATGAGGTTTCAGAGCCATGTGAAGCAAGTTCAGGTTAAGTGGGGAGAGAGAGAGTGCCTGCACATATTTTTACTACCTATCCTAAATTGTACATACAATATAAACTGCTTACTTTAAGATATGGTGAGACCAACTGACAGATTAGTAAAGTAAGAGTCAGGAATCGTAGATTCTAGAAATAAAAATCTTTGACCACATTTTCTTTAAATATTTGTGTGTGTGCATCTATATCTATATCTATCATCTCTATACATTTCTATGTAAATCTTAATTATATTCCTTAATTAATAAAATTATTGTGGAAGATAGCATGGAATAGTAGCTAGCTTTTGAGAAACTTAGGAAGTTCATAAATGTGAGTCTATTTTTGATACCCTAGTGTCACAGCTAATTTTAATGATGACCTTTTAATGAAAAAAATCTCTAGCAAAGAAATTAGAGACAAGTTAACAAAAGTGTAAGCTAACAGAAAGGGGTTTGACTCCTTTCAAAGCAAGACCATGACTAGGGAGGACAATGAGTTGCTAACAGACAAACCCACAGAGTGCTTTACTCATACCTCTGCCAGTAAATCTGCCATTGAGGGATGAAGGGCAAATATTCTCTGAATTAACTAAAATGGGAAAAGGAATAATTGTGGAAATTTACACAACTAAGCTTACATTATCCCTGACACAATTGTAGGAGGGATTATTAATCAGATAGTTTATGAGCCTTCAGAAATGAAAGTGGCCGCCTGGGAACCAATTCACAAAGAATGTGAGGGTGTGTTAAACGAGCTTCATTTCCTTTCAGATAGGTTTGGAAGTGATTTATGATGTAAATATAGAGGAGACCTTCTCAAATTATTCTAACAACTTCCACTAGGGAAAAAAGTTTGGGTGTCAATCTCAAAGTGGCTTGATACAAGCTTCAAATTGCTTTGAAGTTAGGTGTTTAAAAGTCTCTTTTGATTTTGCATTCTGTTATACCGTACTTCCATATTTATCTAAATAGTACATTGCATTTTAATTTGGAAGTTATATTAATTAGCCTTTCCTTTATGAATCTTGCAGTATGACTGACATGACCAAGAGTGATTACCGTATTTATCACATGGATAATGACTTAGCTAAGTGGATTTATAGTTAGATTATGGGCTCCAATTTAAAATGTAATTAAGCAATGGGTTCAAATGAATACTAACAATATATACCAATATGTAGCAATAACGAATCTGATTTTTCACATTTATATTTCAACAACAATGCTACCACCAGCTCTACCACCAAAACTCTAACAAGAGCTGCCTTTATCAGACACTTACTGTATACCAGGTTCTGTGCTCATCATTTTATATGTTTCATTGTGCTCAATTCACTCACTGCCTGTACAAAATAGGTACTGGCTTATTAGTGTCTCCATTTTATAAACATGGAAAGCAAAGCTTAAAAAATAATGTGTTCAACATCATCTAGAGATAGTATCTATGCTGGGATTCAAATGTAACTGATCTGCTTCCAAGCCCAACCTTTGCATGCCATTGCTTCTCCAAAAATCAGTTGAGCAAATATAGTATAGTGCAATCCTGAGGTAATTGTAGCTCTGAGACTGAGCTCACCGTCATCTTCAAATAGTCATGGGGGGGAGAAATGACCCAAGCCTTGTATGCACATATGAATAATAAAATTAAAAAAAAAATAGTCATGGGGCTACAACAAAATGAACACAATGTTAGGTTCCATGGGTGGAAGGGCTCAGATATGGGGAGACAAGAGCCCCAGCAGTCAGCCCAAACTCTCTTTGTTCAGGTCTGGGTGGTGCAGTGTTAAATTACTGAAAACCCTCTGTAGGTACAGAAGATACTGGGTATGCAAGTCACATCTTCAATGGATACAGAGCCAAGAATATTTTAGCGTGAAGAAGAGACGATTAGTGGCAAGCTATGATGGTTAATCCATTCATTATTTCTAGCAAACTGTGGGAGAGCCCATTTCAACATTGATTTTAAAAAGATGCTATATTTTGACACGATTTATAGTTTCTCAATTGGTGACCTTTTGCCCTTTCTCCAATCCTTTCTCTTCTTCCCATGGGATCAGCCATCTTTGTGGCTGATATTTAAGCAGCATCTGAAAACTTCAGAGCACTGCTCTAGGAAACAGGACACCTGGGTTCTGATTTGGCACTGCATAATTTTGTGTTTGACTTTATGCAAATCCCCCGATCTCTTTGGGTTACATTTTTCATACCTCTACCTAATTTACAGGCTGAAATGAGATCCTGCATATGAAATCATGGGAAAAGTATAAAACATCATGCATTATTATTACTAATAACCTTTGAGTTAGTTGCTACAGTGCCTAAAGCCAGGATTATACTTGAATAAATATCACACCTGTTGGGGATGCTACCTTTCAATATCCATGGTCTCACCTCCTCTAGACTGCGTATTTTTGGACTTTTGGTAATTCTACACCACTGTTTTTCTTTTTAAAGCCAGTCTGGCTTCCTCCCTTAAAGCAAGAGGACTTTTAAAGTGAGTGGCTGGCACATATATCGAATCTCCTTAGCCTGGGCTGTTAAGTAAGTTTAATTAATTTACTAAGTTAATGTTCCTCTGCTAGCAACAGAGCCTCATTGCCATCAGCTGGGGAGAGGGAATTGAAAGCCTAAATGAGCTCATTTTTTCACAGTTGGAATTAGGGACCAGTTAGCCAGTTGTGTGGGTTTTCCAATTTCTCCATCTGCCCTGGGGGGATTCAGGCAATTCACTCCCTCCGTATAAGTTTGAGTAAGATCAGGAAGAGGGAAGGGGGAAAGAAAAAAATTCAAAATAAGAAACTGCCCGACATTTGCTTCCATTTTTGGAACTGGACATATTGTCTGTGCATTGCTTTAGGTTGGGTTTGGAGAAGCTTTTGCTAGTGTTCTCAATACATGTGGGAAAGAAGAAAGGCCTCAGTGAAAGATATTTACCATGTGCATTTTCATTGCAGTGTGAGCAGATAAAGGAAAACAAATAAACAATAAAAGAATGGAAACAAAATTACAGAAATTTGCAAAATTTGACAAATGGTGGCCTGTAGTTGCCACAAGCTAATGGCTTGCAATGATTAATAAGTGTAAAAATAATTGCATTTCATTAAGATTGATGACACCCCATTTAACCTCCCTTCTCGTTTTAGCCCTAAAGTGGAAAGAGATGAAGTTCTCATCTATAATAGCTCCTGTAACATTACCATGGAAACTGAGGCAGAGATGGAGTGTGAGACGCCTAATCAGCCAATTACTGCCAAGATTACTGAGATACGGAAAAGCTGGGGCCAGAACACTCAGGTATAATCAAATCTTTTTTACAGACTGATTCAAACAGCTCAAATTAAATTTGTAATATTGTGTACATTAAAAAAAACAATTTAGTCCAAATGGCAGCGATATATAATATTAAATGCTCTCAAACTTTGAGGAGCTGGTCTAATGCACAACATCTGAATTCATAGTTAACTATGGTTAATCATATATTTTCTCAAAAATAAATGAATGCTGCCTGGGCACTTTTAAAGCAAATTCTGCACAGATAATCTCTTCAGCATTTTGTGCTGATTTCCACATGCATGTTTGAAAGGGGATGTCTGTGGTTTATTTCTTTATAAAATAAGTGGTCTACAATTTAACCCCGCGCTTCTGGAAAGCCTCCACATCACTCAGCAGTCCTCAGCTTGTGGGACAGAAATGTCGCTGTTCCATCCTGTCCATATCTGTCTGGGGACTGTGGGGAGCAGAGTGCAAACATTATCCTCAGAGGAGATTACGTAGAAATTAGAACGGAGAAAGGCCACTGGCCTTTAGGTCTAGCCTCTTTACCTCAATTCATCCGTTTTGAAATTATCCAAACCACTCCCTCCAAGTGGTTCTTCAAAGACAGTGTTCTCAAGTCCCCAGTGACAGATTCCATAGCCTCCCCAGGGAATTAGTGAGAATTGAAATCAGAGGCTAAGCGCTCTGTGGAAACATATCAGATAATCTTTTATAACTCCTCAGGCTTCTCACTGTACACAGACAAAAAATAATATTTATTGAGCACCTACTCCCCTAGGTGCCTTTCCTTTTATGAAAGCAATCCTTAGATTTTCCTCTCGTCTTTTTTATTTGGAACAAACACTTATTAAGTGACTATTTTGTGCCACATCCTATTCCAGATTCTCTTGTGTCCTGTTTCAGTCGAACTGTCCCAATGCAAAACTGTACTTCCTGCATTTTTGTATAACTTTCATACTGGGACTGAAAATGTATGCAATTACAAGTATTGTTTTTTCTTCTGTTCCTCTTAAACTGCTCCCTGTCTGCCTTCCCACCCCTTGGGACTTCTCTGTTTGTTCTGTCACCTCCCTGTCTCCTCACTCCCTTTTACCTTCCCTTCAGGTGATTGCCCAGGGCTGTCACTGTCTGTTTCATTGTCTCCCTAAAATATCTCTTCCTTTCAATTCACTGCTATTGTGAATTTCTCATTGTCACACCCCCAACTGCAGCCTTCACTTGACTCTGTGCCACTTACTCAAAAGTCAAATGGAACTGCTGTGAGATACTGCTAAGTCACTCCAGGCTCAAGTTCTGTCTGGGTGGGTAACAGCCTCATATTGGGTGCACCTTTGAGCAGATGCTGGCGAAAGGGAAGAGAAGCAAGTTTAGCACAGGATTAAGTGTCTGAACTTTGGAACAATACTGCCTGGTTTGAATACATCACTTGCTATGTGAGGGACTTTGGGCAAGTTGCTTAAACCTGCTGTTCCTTGGTCTTCTCATCTAAAGTGGAGATAATAATAGCCACCTGATAACACCCACGCACAGGAAATCAATGTGAGTCAATGCCCTGTATAGCTATCCTTATCTCAACCAGCAAAAACCCTTGTTCCTTCCTATTATTGCTTATACTCTTCTACAACAAAATTAGAAATAAGGGCAAAATAGTTTCTGCTGGGTATTGAGTGGGGGGGAGCGGGAGGGGGTGGAGTTGGTGGTAAGGGAGGGGGTGGGGGCAGGGGGGAGAAATGAACCAAGCCTTGTATGCACATATGAATAATAAAAGAAAAATGAAAAAAAAAATAATAGCCACCTGATAGTCATTACCAGATCAGTTATTATAGAGATATGTTATTACAACACGTGAGCCACCGTCTCTCACATGCAGTGACTGCTCAGTATTAGTCATTGTTACCTATGTTAGTTCACTATTAGCCATTCTAGAAAATGATACAGAATCATCTCTCTGTAGTACTTCCTGATAATTTCACTTCTTAGATTTCATTCAATTTATCATGACTCAAAGTCTAATTTTGAGTGCTTTTTGAGACTTCAATGCCTCACGTGTTTAAAAATACTTATAGAACACATAGTTATTGAGTTCTAGCCATGTTCAAGGTCCTCTGAAGGAGACAAGGAAATAATATGGGAAGATGCTCTTTCCATCATTGAAGGATCGTCAGAAAATAAGGCCATACAAGGAGGTAGGTAAGGTTCGAAGAGGGTGCCTAGAGCCAATTCATCACAGTTGAATGGAGCTTTGGACAATATCTGCACCAGCTATATCATTTCAGAGATGAATCAACTAACATTCATAAGGTGAGGTAACTTGGTAAAGTCACATGGCTCATTTTTTGGCATCATAACCTATGCAACTATATGGCATTGTGGGGAAATAACACATTTGCTTTTCAGGAGCCAGGGGGCATGTACATCAAAATCTACAGTCCCAAGGGATGAGGGGAAGTTTCCACAGTTACAGCTTCTAGATGTGACAAACGTTGCACTTGAGTGTTGATGGTAATGTTATAGCTTTAAACAGTCCATTGGGGGCAGGGCCCAAGTAACCAAGAAGACACAGGGAACAGTGGCAGCAAAATAGCCAGATTTCAGACCTGCGTTAGCCCCAGCAGGTTCCTAAACAATGGAACAAGGGTCTCAGTCAGTATGATGGGAGATGCGGAACACTACAGCTAAGCAGGCACACCATTATTGAGGGCCTAGGAAAACAAAATTCTAAGCAATGGGAACATTATTAATTTTAGATTCCACTCTGTGGTTCAGTAGTTTGTTTTGCTTTAGGAACTGAATATAATGAAGTCTGTAAGTAGAGTATGTATAACTAAGTGACCATATAATTGATTCAAATCCAAACCAGGATGTTTTGAGAGTGCAAGGTCCACAATTCGTAATTGTGCTAGAATAATAAGTCACTTTTGTTGGGCGTTTTGTGTAAGTATCCTACTTGGACTTGGGAACAATGTGTCACCCATATGTTGATGCATGGTTACCCTACTGATGTTTGAATGTGTCATTTCCCTATTTCCTCCTGGAAAAAATATGCCACTTTTGTAAGGTGCATGGTTGCCTTATCTGTGCCTAAACCTGGGGGAAGACCAGCCCTGGAAGACACTTATTCAGAACTAGAACCAAGGTCCCACTTTCAAGTTCAAGAATTCCCTATGTGAGAACATTGGAATACTAATTTCACAAAATAGATATTTAGCAATGAAAGGGTTCCAAAGTCAAATATACTGTGACACACACACACACACACACACACACACACACACACACACACACAAGGATTTTTGAGAATATTCATTATGTGAATGCATAATGTAAATTTCTATGTAAAGCTGTAGTGTGGTGTACTACTCAAACTTACACATCTATGGAACTTTTTAATCCCAGGGTTTGCATGGGGCTGTTGCCCTCACTTTGGGAAGTGTTGCCTATGCCACGCTTTTCCCCCATCATAGGATGGGGACTCTGCTCCATCATCTTCACATAGATCAGTCAACTGAGTTCTATTGAAGTATATGGCATTTATATTATACTATGAAGAACAGGTAAGGTTTAGATATTTAGCAAAATAGAAGAAATATATTTTTTGGTGTAGGACCCAGCATGTCCAAGTCACTGAGACAAACATGTCCAGTGCAAGGAGCATGGTGCATGTGTAGGGGACCAGTGAATTTCAGGTTTGGAAAGGTGGTGTGGGATTAGACTGTGACCTAAGCAAGTGACAAATTATCCTCAGAGAACCATGGTATGAGTTCAGGGGTACTGCAGACATCTTAATCTGGTAGTTAGGTATGGGATGACTTGATTGGTGACCCACAAGAAGTAGAGCATTTCAACCAGGCAAGAAGTAGAGAGATAACAGAGGGAATAGAGAGAAGTCACACACCTGATAGTAAACACTTGATAAGTGAAGCATATACTTATGCATTCAGGTATATACATACACCCATTTGCACACAAAGATATGTTATTTGTATTGTTCTTCAAACTGTGTTTTAAAAATTCACAAAACACTTTGTGGTGGAAGCTACTTGAAAAGAAGGTCTGTGTTTTTTCACTGGTATTTTTCCATATCTTAGAATTATGTCTAATATTAGCAGGATTTCATAAAAGTATATTGAAAGAATGAATAGATTTATAAATTAATAAACAACATGCACATTTTTTCATTTTAAAACATGTCTTTCTTTCTGAAGACATTGATTATACCTACTATAAATTGAACTCTGTGACACATTGATAAGAAAGAAAAGATAGAAAAAGAAAAAGGAAATCCATGATCTCTGAAAGACACAATAGGGTACCATAGACAACTAGAGGTTTTGAGGGATTTCTGCAGCAGAAATAGCAAGTTGGTTTGTATGAGTAGAGAAACCACAGCAGAATAAAACCAACTCAAAGCACATTTGGAGAAAACTGTAGGGCACAGCTATAGTTTTCAATGGAGCAGTGGGAGAACAGGAAAGGACAGGCATTAAGAAATAAGGAGAACTAGTATGCCAAAATTCTTCCTCCTTCCCTCTCCCTCTTTTCTCTGTTTCTGTATATATGGAGGATTTGGATGTGTGGCTCTCAAGATGAGATCTTAAGAGTACCTCATAAACAAACAGGTGAGATGGATTTGCCCACCATGGATGTTAGGACTGATGTTAAGCTTGACAAAGACTGAGGAAACCCTGGAAGTCCATGACAAACTCAGAGAAAGGAAAGAAGGACAGAAAAAGCAACTTTCTCCTCATTTCTGTCTCCTGGGAATTCCTCCCTGTTCACCCCATTCATCTAGATTTTACCCAGCAATTTCAGTGGCAGTAACTTGAAGAGGTGTCTCTGAAAATTTAATCTTCTGTATTAGTAGAAAAGAAGTCTGAAACAATGCTATTAAAACTCTCTGGGAAATGATTTTGAACCTAGAATCCTATATTAACTTAAATACTATTTGGAATGAGAATAAAATAAAGACATATAAACTGCACAAAATTCAGAAAGTTTACCACATTTATTTTTTGTGG